ATACACCAAGTGTAAATTGTCTGTAAAGCAAAGACGTTTGCGTGCCCATAGCACTTAACAGCATTAATTAATAAGAAAAACGCGTCACGCCGCAGCAAGCGGCGCGCGCGTCGTTTTTGCAACCGCATACTCGCGCCGGAAACGCACGCGCGATCGCCATTTTTTGCCGTAAATGCATTAATTTTTAATGCGATCAAGAGCAATGGCCGCCCCGTAAAATGATCTAGCTAGATGCAATTTAAAGGGAGTGCATTCCTCTCTTGTGTTGCGAGTGTGTTGTATTGTTTATGGTTTTGTGGTTCAACTGCGATCTGTTGTGGTACGCAATAAAGGGTGTAGTTAGGGCGTAGGAATTATGATTTCTTTTTATCATTTAATTGGCTCATTGATATTTAAATTGATTATTCGATTTTTATTTAAACAAAAATATATGGTCTTTTCTTCTCTTCTAAAAAAATCTTCTGATTTATTTCGATACGGGATCCAAAACAGTTTTTCATGTCTCTGCGATGCGACGGACTTCAGTGTTCCGGTGTTTTCATGGTATGGTATGGTATTCGTATCAGTTCAAGTCAGATCTCTCTAGAGATCTAAAGTAGTAGATCTTGACTTACAGGCGTTGCAGCGGGTTTTAGGAGGATATGGCGGGCTTGTCCCATAAAAAAACGAAGAAGTAATGTATAGATAAAAAATAAACATATGACTTTTATTGAAGGGAAAGTGGGAAGTGAAACAATTGTAACAAATAACCAACGAACTTTACCAAACATTTAAACGACCACCACAACCAAAAAAACCACAATAAAAGTCAAAATAAACCATTCAAAACTCAGATATTTATTAAAAACAAACTAGGTCTCCAGTTAGGAAAACGATTGCGTGTTAGAAAATATACAATCACTTCCTTCGTTTGCCGAAGACATGCTTCTGGGTATTGTATCCGAGTGACAGTCTGCCAGTGTCTGAACGCCTTGCTGAAAACGCAACCAGTGAATTAAGGGAATGTTGACTTAATATTCCTACATTATTTTGTGTTAGTAATCTAGTTTATTCTTGGATGATTTATGGACTAACTTTGTTAGTTTCGTGTATTGTATTAAAATAGTTTAAAAACTATTTTTCTTGTTTTCATTTGTAACGATGCAAAGAAACTGTTTTTCTTTCTTTTTTCTTTCATAGTATCTAAGATTATTGAGTTATATTTTTACGGATAGGATTTTGCCTAAGCTTGAGAGTGTCAGACTCTTACTGACTAAAAGCCACTCTGATCCTGATGATTTTTGATGGTTTTCCCCCCTTAAAAAACTCTGTTCCTACTCCTGCTTTGAGCCAAAACCCTGGTAACCCGTTAGCCCAGTTCTGGGCCGACAAACGAGCATATAGTGATCCATATGCTTGTGCAACATCAGGTGATCCTGATTGTAAGTACGTCGTCGTCGTCAGTCGCCGCACCAATGGGTAGTAAGTACCCGCAACACACGGAGTTACAAGTTCGTTTGAGGCCGGCCATTGGGCTTGCAATTTAGGGGTTAGAGATGTTAAAAATACTAGGTTTGGTAATATTTGGTATTTATTTGTTACTAGCTACTTCCACGCGGTTTCACACGCTTTGCTCAGCTCCTATTGGTCGTAGCGTGATGTTTTATAGCCTATAGCCATCCTCGATAAATGCGCTATCCAACACAAAAAGAATTATTCAAATCAGACTTGTAGTTACTGAGATTAGCGCGTTCAAACCAACAAAAAACAAACTCTTTCGCATAGTAAAATAATAGACAGTAAATAGTATAAGATAAGATTATTTATTTAATAATAAAAGGTACATGATACTAATGCCATGACCAACAAAACTATACATAAATAGTTTGACTGTTGGATCTTCTACATTTGTCAACCGACTTCTTTTAAATTTATTATGATAATTATTAAAATAAATATTTAAATACCTACATATTATTACATAAATAGATTGTTACTTTAGAAGTTCGGCGTGTCTAATTAAAAAAAAAGTAAGTATGTACTTTTTTATAACAGAAAAAGATGGTTCTGCGTGCAAATAAAATGTCTACCTATCTATCATCGTCGTTTATTTAGTAATCGGTAAAATAAAAGTTAAAATGGCCGTGATAATTAATTACTAACAGTATTTTTATTGCGCATAATGATACTATAATTAGTATTATCTTAAATCAAAATCTAATTTTTAAATAAAATTGAAATTTATTTTTCCAGTGGTTACCTGCTTATTATACTGTTAAGTTAATTCGATAACTCTACCATCTATTAAAAATAACTGTTGGTTTCAGTTCAGACTATAAACATCGCACATGTTTACCGAGAGCTTTGACACAGTGTCACCGTAGCAAAAGGATTTGAGAAATCATTCCTTTAATAAACACACAGGCACTTTCCATTGAAATCCCAAAACATTTCGGTAAGTGGTGTTAGTAGATGTTCAAGGACTCTTTTTTTTTTAAGGGGGGAAAATCATCGAATGACTGCTCCCGCCGGGGTGAGGCGGAAGGGAGTGTCAGACTCTTACTGACTAAAAACCACCCCGTTCCTTCTCCTGCACGTCGAGCCGGAGCTCCGGTTACCCGTTAGGTTCTCCGCGACATGTATAAGGACTCTTAACTTTTAACATCTTTACATAATAAAATACAGTAAACGTTTTACAAGGAAACCTGAGACCGGTGTCTGTAGTAGGTGAAACCACCACAGATCACCAGGCCCTATCCCACTGACGCAATTCAACTACTTACTGAGTAACATAAAATAATTAGATTGATGTGAATCTAATAATAGGTAATCGGTAACAGGTAATCTAATTATAGGTAAACTAGCGACCCACTCCTGCTTCACACGCGTGCAATATGCATGTATTATACATATAAACCTAACCAGACTAAAGTGGCAATGGGCAGGCCACGTCGCTCGAAGGACTGACGGCAGATGGGCCAGGAAAGTCCTTGAGTGGACACCACGGACCGGAAGACGAAGCGTGGGCAGGCCTCCCGCTAGGTGGACCGACGACATCGCCAGAGTTGCGGGGAGCCAGTGGATGCGGGTGGCGAGTTGTCGTTCGACGTGGAGGGCTAAGGGGGAGGCCTTTGTCCAGCAGTGGACGTCTTCCGGCTGTTGATGATGATACATATAAACCTTCCTTAAGATCACTCTATCTATTAAAGAAAACCGCATCAGAATCCGTTGCGTAGTTTTAAAGATCTAAGCATACATAGGGACTGACAGACGGCGGATAGCCACTTTGTTTTATATTATGTAGTGATAAGGACTATAGATACCAGCTCCACACATTTTTAATAAAAGCTTTAACACACAGCAGTATTTCCGAACCGATACGACCTTCAAACCTTCAAGAAAAGAGCGTATTTCTTTTTAAAAGGCCGGCAACGCACCTGTGACTCCTCTGGTGTTACGGGTGGCGCTGATCGCTTACCATCAGGTGATCCGTCTGCTCGTTTGCCTCCTATTCTATAAAAAAACACAAATCTCAAAAAGGTTCATATCACGGGAAATGATTTAAAACATTAGCAAATAGTTTATAAACCGTCACAAAACAACGTGGGAGAGAATTTATTCAACAAATTATTATAAAGTAATTGCTAAACCACAATATCCTTACTAATATTATAAATCGGAAAGTGAGTTTGTTTGTTTGTTCCGATTTCAAGCCGTAACTACTAAACCGATTGCTTTGAATTTTTGTAGACGTAAAGTTAGAAGTCTGGATTTAATAATAGGGTACTTTTTATCCCGGAAAAATTTGATATTCCCGAGGGAAAACAAAAGTATTTGTATAGATGGCGCTGTATGTCACATAGGCTACTTTTCATCCTTTTGTGACACGAGCGAAGCCGCGGGTAAAAGCTAGTACTACAATATACAGTAAATTAGTATTCCTTATTACACAAAGACCAGGGACAATCCATTTAAAGACGATGTATACAAGCTTTTTATTGGAAAATTGTCACGCGAATCGGTATTGCGTAGGAGCATAAGTGCTATAGGTAGGCATTTATCTTGCGAAGGGTCACGGGCATCGAGTCGTCGAACCGATGACATTGGGCCCGCAAGGTGCCCTAAACATTAATTTATCTTGATTCGCAACTCGCGAACGAACCGAGCGAATTCTTTTTTAGAAATTGCTATTCGATTGTTGAGTTTGCAGTTTAGTTAAGAGTATACTTTCAAACAAAGTTAAATACAATCCAATAGATTGTAATTAATTAAAGTTAAAATCCCGATTTATAGGAATACTTCAAGAAACGACTGTTTTTTTAATAGACACAGGTAATAAATTAAAATTTATTGAAGAAATATAAAGCAAACAACCTTCTTCGTGTTCTGCCAGTGTTGCACGTTTTATGTGAAAATAATTATTGTGTATCAGAATGCAACTGTTAAATTCTTGACTAGGAAATTTAGCAATGTTGCTAGTTTATACATTTACCCATATTAGGGGAAAAATTTAAGCGATACATTATCTAAGTTGTTTAAAATGATTATGATTGCACGTAGGAAAATGTGTGGGGTCTATCCCACCCTCTAGAGAGTGCGTATTATAGTTAAACGCCTAATTTCTTATTTGTACATCTTTTAAATTATTTTTGTTCTTCATCCCTAGATCGCTAGTTCCATCTCTTTACTGATATTTATACGTTTAATTACACTACAGGAATGCGCATAAAATCCTTAGGGCCACAAGAATTCCCCACGAAGTTAATTCTCATTGAACAAATAAAACCGTAACAGGTTTTCGATTATTAAACTCACCAAGTCACCACCTGGCATCTGGCAACTCGGGATAGTTGGCTCGGCGCGGCTCGTCCGTCGGATGGCGCGCGCCACTAATTACGATCATACCGAGCTCCATAATGCATCTGTGGTAATGTGGCAATACTTAACCAGTGTATCGTAAAACACGCGAACGCCTTTTTTCATTGGTGCATCGGACCGAGTGACGGGCAGAAAAACTCGAAATGAGGTTACTCGACAACGGTATTGCGAAAAAAAGCTTAGGTCAGCGTCCGTTGTGCTGAGGGATAAGATAATAACTAGGAAGACTTATCAATGAATATTTTCTATAAAAATGTTTAAATTACGCCAATGTTGTGTTAGGATTACTGTAAGACTCCTGGACTGAAGGGTTTTCTAATGTGTTCTTGACTGCACGGTTGGCGCGGTGGTTGGGCAACTGACTGCCGCGCAACGTGTCGCGGGTTCGATTCCCGCACGGTACAACTCTTGGTTTAATCTACAGATCGTTGTTCCGGGTCTGGGTGTCATGTGTATGTGAACTTGTATGTTTGTAAACGCACCCACGAGACTGGAGAAAATGCTAGTGTGGGGCAACGTTATAAAAAAAAATTGTAAGTAGTAGGACGCCCTCCAGCTAGGTGAAAAGGCTATATCCGCCTAGTGGGTGACAGTGGTTGGTTAGAGGGCTAAAAATCTAACCCACTGGCATCCTATTGGTATTGGAAAATCCCATGCCCAGCAATTGATGGGGACGGATTGAACCACTGATATAAATGAAAATTATGATATTTCTTTTAGAGCGATCTCTGTCGAGTGGGCAATCTGAATCTCTAGAAAACTTCTTAGAAAAAGAATTTTCCTCTTCCTTTTATAAACCTCATAATACTCAAAATCAATATTCAATTAGGTACATAATTAAGTACATAGTGTGTAAAAAATACTGGCCTAAAATTGAGAAAATAGCAGCAAAAAACCATATTATAATATCAGAAATTATCTATTTATCGCATTTTATGCACTAAACTAGCTGTTGCCCGCGACTTCGTCCGCGTAGATTAATGACTTCTGACAGAATTAACCAGAATCAATTCAGTGCCCAAGTAAGATTTACCTGTTTTGAAATGTTTTATCGTAGTTTCAATAAATAAATAATCCCGCAGGGATCTTACCAGTACAGTGCCCGATCACGTAAGGTTTGAGTAATAAAAACTATTCTATCTACTATTGTTGTACCGAATCTCTCTAGAATAAGTTCAGTGGTTAAGAGTTAGAGAGTCCTGGGGCATTGACGCATAGTTCCCGTTCCGTGGACATCTGTGAAAAACTATCAAACGTTACCCAGGTCCCAAATCATCGTTTTACCGAATGTAATTCAAAAAGATTCAATGATTCTAAATTCAATGGCTAAGAAGATTTATACAAACTCTCATTCCCTATTTTATCCCCTTAGGGGTGGAATTTATCAATCCTTTCTAAGTAGATACCTATGTCATAGTAACTTTATGCATGCAAAGTCAGCCCGATCAATTTAAAACTGGCAAAGTATCATACAAACTTTCCCCCTATTTTACCCACTTGGGGTGTGAATGTTCAAAAACCTTTCTAAAGGGACGTTTACGTCATAATATCCATCTGCACGCCGAATTTCAACCCGATCGGTGTAAAACTGACAAAGCTTCATACAAACGTTCATCCCCTACATTACCCATTGGAGGTGGAAAATCAAATCCTTACTTGGGGATGCCTACGTCATAACGTCTCCTGCATGTCAAATTCAATTCATCGTAAAACTGACAAAGTCATACAAACTTTCATCCCCTATTTTACCCCTTGGGGGTGGAAATTATCAAAATCCTTTCAAAGCGGATGCTACGTATAACATCTATCTGCATGCCAAATTTCAACCTGATCGGTTTAAAACTGACAAAGGCTATATAAACTTTCATCCCCTATTTTACCCACTTGGGGGTGGAAATTATCAAAATCCTTTCACAGCAGCTACGTCATAACATCTATCTGCATGCCAAATTTCAACCCGATCGATTTAAAACTGACAATGTCTCATACAAACTTTCATCCCCTATTTTACCCCTTGGGGGTGGAAATTATCAAAATCCTTTCACAGCGGATGCCTACGTCATAACATCTATCTGCATGCCAAATTTCAACCCGATCGTTTAAAACTGACAAGTCTCATACAAACTTTCATCCCCTATTTTACCCCCTTGGGGGTGGAAATTATCAAAATCCTTTCAAAGCGGATGCTTACGTATAACATCTATCTGCATGCCAAATTTCAACCCGATCGGTTTAAAACTGACAAAGTCTCATACAAACTTTCATCCCCTATTTTACCCCCATTGGGGGTGGAAATTATCAAAATCCTTTCACATCGGATGCTTACGTCATAACATCTATCTGCATGCCAAATTACAACCCGATCGGTTTAAAACTGACAAAGTCTCATACAAACTTTCATCCCCTATTTTACCCCTTTGGGGGTGGAAATTATCAAAATCCTTTCACATCGATGCTTACGTCATAACATCTATCTGCATGCCAAATTACAACCCGATCGGTTTAAAACTGACAAAGTCTCATACAAAATTTCATCCCCTTTTTACCCCCTTGGGGGTGGAAATTATCAAAATCCTTTCACAGTGGATGTTTACGTCATAACATCTATCTGCATGCCAAATTTCAACCCGATCAGTTAAAAACTGACAAAGTTTCATACAAACTTTCATCCCCTTTTTTACCCCCCTGGGGGTGGAAATTATCAAAATCCTTTCTTAGCGAATGCTTACGTCATAACATCTATCTGTATCCAAATTTAGCCCAATCTGTCCAGCGGTTTGGGCTGTGCGTTGATAGATCACTATGTCAGTCAGTCAGTCAGTCAATCACCTTTGAATTTTATATATATAGATTACTTATCTGAAAATCTAGGCGGAATTTTTTATTGATGATTACAGTTCCTATTTTCGCTAATTTCATTTGTACCCTTTTTTTAAGGGGGGACAATCATCGAATGACTTCTCCCGCCTGGGTGAAGCGGGAGGGAATGTCAGACTCTTACTGACTAAAAACCACCCCGTTCCTACTCCTGCACTTCGAGCTGGAGCCCCGGTAACCCGTTAGGTTCTCCGCGACTTCATCTTCAGCCTAGACTCGATTGTATTTTTGATACTCTAAAGCCATCTAGTGATATTAGTTGAAACTATAATGTTACCTGCCTATCTGCTTGAAAATACTTAGAGTGCGCATTATTTACAAGAAAACGATATTTTAACTAATGTTATCATAGAAAAAATAACATAATCAAGCTTAGCTATTTAATTACAATTAAGTTACTTGTTACTCTAAATAAATTATTGAAATAAGGTTATTTAGTTTTGAACGAAACATTTTTACAGATAGTCAGTAGAATTTGCGTTTGACATTGACAGTTTATGAAAGATGTTATATTTTGATAGTTGATGTGTACGTGAAGAAATGAGAAAATAAAATATTATTTTGTGCTTATTTAACAACTTCACATAGAGATTTCGGGTTAAAATAGAAAAAGGACACATTTATTCACTACATAAAAATGTCTAAAATAATTTCAGTGCTGGTTTTATATGTGTGGTAAGTTGTTTTTTTAATTAAATTAAAAACAAAGTAAAAGTAATATATAATATTCGGCCTATATGTGACCTTGACCTTTGCAGCTTTGATTTTGCTCATCAGTATCGAAGCTATACCAGGACTAATGCTGAAAAAGAGTGGGATTTTCTAATATTCACTCAACAATGGCCTAGCTCCATGTGTAAAGTTTGGACACACAATAAACCAAATCACCACTGTGTTTATCCTAAAAAAGCTGATTCATGGACTGTTCATGGCATTTGGCCTACTAAGGCAGGAACAAAAGGACCGTTTAATTGTAACACAACCTGGCTTTTTGATCCAGAGCAAGTGAGGCCTATTGAAAGTGAATTGGAGCAGGCCTGGACGAATATTGAAAAAGGTAAACTACCTTACTATTAAAATAAAATCGCTTTAAGTTGAATTAACTACATGATTGGTGCAGTGGCTGGGCAAACCGACTTGTTGCAGGTTTAGTTCTTTTTGTGCCATCCACATCCACAAATGGTTGCTCCATATCTGGGTGTGATATGCTTGTAAAATGAAGTGTTTATAAAAGCACCCACGGCATAAGAAATTCCTTGTGTTGAACAACATTTAAAACCTTTAAACTGTCAAACACCAAGCGGTCACCGGTGACCGCAATCTATTGTTCTTTAATTGTGTCTATAAATATGGTACTCGACAAGTTAATGTGAATTAACTGTTGCTTGTATTATGTTCTAAATATATTAAAAAAAATTAAACATACTTGTGTTTAGTTAGTTAGTTAGTTCATTACTTTATTATCAGTTTGTTGTACCAGATAATTCTATGAATACTTGAAAATTGCAATAGCTAGGTACTTTACCAAGCAATTATTTGTTTAATTCTTTTGTTATCTATTTTGAACGCGTATTTATAAATGTGTGAGTCATGCAATAAAATTACTGCTAATTCATAATTTGCATAAACAATTTACTGACAATGAAGCAGTAGTTATACTTATCTGACACTAAAAATATATCAAAATTTACGAAAAACTGAAATAAATATTATTTTCTTAAGAACTTAAAAAAAATATGTTTTATATAGAATTTAAAATATATATTAGTATCTTTTATGGTTGTTTAGTAAGTATAAATAAGGTACTGTAATTATTAATGCCATTAACTCGTCGAGTACCGGTTTTATAGACACAATTAAAGAACAATAGGTCGCGGTCACCGGTGACCGCTTGGTGTTTGACAGTTTAAATAAATGAGGAGTTTTATAATAATTATATTTTCCTTATAATTTATTATCATTTGCAAATGTGGCTTAAAATATAGGTATGATATCTAAATAATTGAGGAAAATACAGCAATAATTAATGTAATGTTTTATAACATTCCAGAAACATCACTCTACAACTTATGGGCCCATGAATGGAACAAACATGGTACTTGTGCGGCTATGATAGAACCGTTGAACACGCAACTGAAATACTTCAGCAAAGGCATTGATTTCCTCAACGAATACCATATGAATGACATCCTCACTAGTGCCAACATCGTACCATCGGACACAAATCCAGTGAAAGCTGAAGACGTAAGTGCTACGGTTGTTTCCAAGATTGGTGTACGACCATTCATTGCGTGTGAGTTTGAAGACGGAGTGCAGTATTTAATAGAGCTCCGAATTTGCTTTGACAAACAATTGAACCTTAAAGAGTGCGAGGGTGAGCATGAAGTTAACGGTGTGTTGACCAACTGTAATATTGCAAAGAATATTATTTATCCCACTGCGTTACCCCCTGCCAATCTGCAGATAGTTCAATTGCATAAGTTTGTTAACTGGTTGCAATGGTTTACTTTGTAATTTTAGTTTTTTTATAGTTATGAATACTATGCCTTGTATAGAGCAATCTCCATTTAATTAAAAGGGCATAATGCCACCTTGTAGAGATTTCAAGACTTCATGTCATGCATATTTTAGTTTTGTTCATTCTTCTTGCCTACAAACTATTACATAAATAGTATATTTTTTTAACTTTTTTATTGGATGTTTCTCAAATCATCCTAACCGTAAATCTCAACATGATATTAGAAACTGATTGCTTTATAATTTTATTTTGTATATAACGGTTATCAGCTTGGCAATGCTACTTAATATGGCCATATTTTATAATAGTGTTGTTTGTAACTGTAAATGTTGCCAATTATAAAAAAATTATACTAACATATTGACTGTGTATGGTCTAAAATCTATTAGTTTTTACTCTATTATTGTGTCAAATTTTACATTTTTATATTTAATATATCAAATGAAATGTAGGTTCCGTATATGTTTTGTGTAAATTGCTATTGCTATGTATGCAACCAGTCTTAGAAAGCTTGAATCAATTCAGTGGGTAACATCAAGTAGATAGATCATACCAGTCTAAAGGTTAATTTGGTAGTTAATTGAAGGTTATTTTAATACTTCTATTTTAACTCTGAGGTGGTACAAATTTCTAGCTATTTTCTTATTTTTTTTATGTAAAACATTGGTTCCAAGTTAGTCTTAGGTGATTGTTATCATAATTATATTGATTTTTTTTTTTTTTAAAACGTTACCCCACACTAGGATTTTCTCCTGTGTCGTGGGTGCGTTTACAAACATACAAGTTCACATACACAATGACACCCAGACCCGAAACAACAATTTGTGGATCACACGAAGTGTTGTTCCGTGCGGGAATCGAACCCGCGACACGTTGCACGGCAGCCGGTGCCCAGCCACCGCACCAACCGTGCAGTCTATTTGATTATTGCATACATTTTATAATTTGGAACCTTTGTAGAATGATATTAAGATTGCTTTTTAGTTTTTTTCTATTAATTTAATCATGAGATTATAATTTTGTGTACTTAAATACAGTGCAATTATTAAATAAATGTCACTATCTGGGCGCGGAGTAGACGTGCAATTTTTGAACGAATTACAATTGTATGTCACAACCGGACTCCCACATTTATCATTACCATAATACCGATATCCATTGGTCATCCGCTGGTCTGATTTTGTTAACTCCTGTACAAAGCGGAGGCGGGCTGTTAGTCGACTGATAAACATCGTCAGTGGCGCTGCAGTCGCTTATGGCAACCCGCTATCAAAAGTAACACGTCTACTTTTTACCCAAATAAGTTTTTAATATAATTTATTCAATTTATTTTATCGTTAAGTTCTTTCACCATTTTCATTGGCGGAAGTTACACATGGCCAATGTAGTTTATAATTAATTATAAATATTATTTTGGGTTTTTGAATAGATGTATATATTTGTATTTCAACTAAATCGTCTTTCTTTTTCTCAAATACTAACAAAAGCAGTGCCCTAATAGTCGAATCAGTGCCTTATTCAATCACTTTAAGTTCAGAAGTTGATTTTCTGTCTTGCAAAATGTGGAGAAACTGTCGGTTAAGCGAATTGCAAATTAATAAGTAAGTAATTGGTAAGCCATTGCGACGCAGGCCATGAAGAATGTAATTATTTTCTTTCTTATAATACATACTAGAATGAATGTCGACTGTTTACTAAATCTATTGTTTATGCAAAGATATAGCTAAAATAATCATAATATTTAACTAATAGTGAATAAATAGGTTTATATAACACATATATGTATTAAAATGGCATAATATTTTTCTATGAATTGTACAAATTAATAAAAATATTGTATACATACTTAAACATTTTTAATCTATTTTGGGGTAATAAATGTGTATTTTTTTATTAAATTGTATATAAAAATGAGTTATCGTTTTAGTTCTTGTTAAACGGCGCCACTGTTGTTTAGGGGCGACCTAGTGCAAAGTAGACGGTCAAAATAGCATCTCTAGAGATAATGTCAATCAACTATAGGAAATGCTTCCTGTCTTTTTTTTTTATAATGAACCTCACAGGTATTTTGGTTTTCCTTGCTCTCTGAATGAATATTAGCAAAGCAAATATATTTTAACTTCATTGTATTCTTGTATTGATAAATACTTGATATTATGTTTGTGTATTAAAATGTTTTATTTCTATAAAATATTGCTTTTATTTTCGCTCCGGTGAATTTTAAAAAATACCCACCATCTTTTCTACCGATCAGTAAAGTAAAATCACGCCTTTAAGTCCCTGAAAGGATCAGTAGAGATACACAGATTAACAAAAATATAACGCCAGTCTATGAATCACGTCGCGGAGAACCTAACGGATTACCGGGGCTCCGGCTCGACGTGGAGGAGAAGGAACGGGGTGTTTTTTAGTCAGTAAGAGTCTGACACTCTCGCCTCACCCAGGCGGGAGCAGTCATTAAAAAGAAGTCTATGAATCACACATGTTACATACATTGATAAGACTATAATTATGATGAGCCGATGTTTGACCACTATATCGCTCGGTGTATTATACTCCGTTATATTACAAGTTAGAATTTACTAAAAATTCGAAAGTGATTCTGGGGAATCGAACCCGATATTAACTTGCTTGGCACCTTTAGTTTAACTGGCTCCTATGTACCATTACACAATTTACACATCAAAATGTATTTTTAGTATTCATACTCTTCACAATAAAAAATATTTTTTTATATCTACAGTTCATTGAACTCAAAATTGAATTTAACTCCGGTGCGCCATGTCCATTGGTTGTGAGAATAATCTCCATCCTTGAAGGGCGAGAATGCGATCGAGCGCACATCGAAAGATCAAATTGTACAGTCACAGAATAGCCTAGTAGTCGTCCTAGTAGTAGAGATCTCTTGCCTTACTTGATATATCGTACGAAAAATCCGCAACATTGGTTCATACAAAAGTAGTCTCTAAACATAGGGAATAAAGTCTATACCTAATGGAGCCATGGGGACTTGGGGACTCTACAGGTTGCCGCAGTCGCACTTTCAACTTCTCGACCATCGAGACAGTCCTAAGAATCGAATGTAGGTAGGTATCTAGTAATTCTATTCATCAATTATTTATGTATCTGTTGTATAAATACACATTTTCATCGAAGGCATCTGTGAATAGGATAATGTATAAAATAAATACCTAGAATATAAGTGTTTGTGAAAATAACTATTGATATCAAAACAAGGAGGTAAGTAGCTAAACATAGCTACATTAATATCAGCACAATATATAAAGAAAGTTACGTAATTATTAGATCATTTTGTCGGATTCATCTTAGAACGAAGACCGTAATAGTCAGATAGATGAGTTTTAAATTATAAATTACTTTTTCGTTCATTTAATTCAAGTTTAGATTATATTTGTGAGTTTAAATATTTACTAGTGACTATTGTTCTTCGATTAAACTTTAAAGAAATGTTTAAAAGTAATATATTAGTTTTAGTGTTTTTAAGGTGTGTTTTTTTTCTTATTGGTAGATTTTATTTATTGAATGTAATTGAAAAAATAAGTAAAATTTTTTTTCTCTATCCGCAAACTTAAGGAAAACAAGAGTTTTGCTTTGGTCCTATATCAGAATACTTATAGGATGTCCGTAGTCCATTTTAGGTTCTTGATGTGTTAAGTGCTATTAGCTACATATTAATATAACCCCTTTCAATTCCTAGCACGCACTATGCTTACATAACTGCTGTTCAAGACACAAGTGTAAAAGACGACGATTATTTCGACATGATAGTTTTGTCACAAAAATGGCCGATCACCTACTGCAAGTATTGGATGCAACAACGAAGGTCCAACCGCTGTGTGTTCCCCACATCGTACGGTCGATGGACCCTACATGGAATATGGCCATGGCGGAAGAAAGATGATACCTTCCCAGAATACTGCGATAAATCATGGAGGTTTGACGAAAACGAAATCCGGGACATAAAACCTGAACTTAAACAGGCGTGGATGAATATATTTGAAGGTATTTTTTATGTATTTTCCTACATTAATTTTATATTTACTGGAGAGGTAAATAGGGACGGCCAATTAATCTAGTTAACTGGTACCCTTTTATGGCATAGGGATATAAAAGAACGGAACACTCGATGGTAAGCAAGCATCGCCGCTTTTTTTTAAAAGGGGAAAATCGTCGAATGGCTTCTCCCGCCTGGGTGAGGCGGGAGTCCTTAATCATCGCCGCTTAAGGATGCCTGCAACGACAAAGTGTTGCCGGCTTCATAGGGATTGGGTTTTGAAGATGGGAGAGAATCGGGAGAACCTGTATAAAAGAACTAAGTAGGTACGATTAGGTACTTAAATATCACTTTTCACATAAAAATGTATTTACAGGAACAATGCCCAACAGTTTATGGGAGCACGAATGGAACAGACATGGCACTTGCGCCAGCGTCATGGAACCCTTTAGCACACAGTTCAGATACTTCAAAAAGGGCGTGGAGTGGAACCTTAAATACTGGATCAAGGGCATGTTAGAAGACGCCCAAGTCTTCCCCTCCGATGTCAAAAAGTATAGTCCGCATGCATTCGTTCGTGCCGTAGAAGGCAGAACGGGCAAGCAACCATTTATAGTCTGTCAAAAATTGAAAAATCGCATCTCGTATATTAAAGAAATCCGTTTGTGTTTTGATACGCACTATATCTTTATTGATTGTAACACTGTTATTGATGATATGAGCTGTGACGAAGATGTTATTTATCCTGCCACTGTATAATATCTAGGATGTTTGAATCATTCCAATCTAGGCAACTCAATTTCTTTAATTTAATATACTTTTAACTTTATTATCTTGTAATAAAGTTAAAAATCGTTGATATTGATTAGAATAATATTTGTTAATGTGATCAAGTTTTATAATTTTATATGTGCCTGAATAAATTATAAAATGATTATTTACATGTGATTTTAATTTACTTGAGTCTGTATTATAATTGTCTTCCAAACCAGTTCGATTTTAGTTTTGTGAGTATAATTTACTGACTCCCAATACACTGGCAAAGTTAAAAATTATTTGGGTTAGATAATCGTTAATATGTTCGGTCTACATTTGTATCGTAGATAAATCTACATTCCTCTTATAATAATGTATGTGTGTAAGTGTACTGTTGTATATAGGGAAGTGTATCAAGAGAGAAATGAGTACAACATTCGATACTTATCATAACTTTAATAAGGTGAAGTCAACGACATGCGAATTCAACAACCAAAAGCTCAAAATACAAATTAAGAACCTTCTTGAATTAAATCGTAATGAACGTCGGGTTCATCATTAAAACTCCACGCTAGCTGAGGTACATTGATTATCATGCGAGCGTCAATGATGAAATCGACTCCAAGCAAAGTATCATTATCGCGAGCATCAGGCAGTACAATAAACTTAGTGAGAATACAGCGATCCTTCAGTTTGACGGGAATACGGCCAGTCAATATATTCTGCGGCCTCGGCACTCCGTCTGCCAAGGTTAGTACTGTATTCTCCTCTTGAAAATGAAAGCCAATGTTCTTCAAATAGCTGTACAGCTTGTGGGATGCGACGCTCGTTTTGGCACCAGTGTCAATGAACGCCATTTCCTGTGCCGTCCCAATACTAATTTCAATCATCAGGCGAGGTCTTATCATTAGTGCAATACTAGAGCTATCGTCAGAATCTTTAACAGCTGGTGTGGTCACTGAAGATTTAGCCGGCGCCTCAGAAGCAGGTTCAGTCTTGGGCGCAGACTTTGTCACATTCGCTCCGTTTTCCGACGCAACCTTTTTTTCTTCCTACAAACATCTGCCGCGTGGCCAAAATTTCTACAAAAGTTGCAGCGCGTCCTTTTCTTACCTGCCCGAACTTCAGTTCCAGCATTGGTTTGAGCAGTATCTTTAGTTTTTTGCTGTTCGATCCCTCTTGCAGCCTCCAATAAACCATCAAATGATTGAATAGTTTCCCTTGGAATCAGATCCTGAATCTTTGGAAGCAAATTGCCATACATCATGTCCAACTGTGTTTCCTCGCGTAATGGTGGATCGGGCAACTGGTTGAACAGCGCGCGATGTTTGGCTACAAACCGCTCCGTTAATTCATCTGGTTGTTGTTTCAGTTGACCAATTTCTGAGTAAATGATGTAAGCTGGTTTCGTAGGAGCAAATTCTTTTCGTAACTCAGATTCAAAATCTTTCCAAGTTACGATCTTGTTTTGAACCCTTTGCCACCATGCTGCAGCATCTTCCTTAAGAATAAAAGGCAAACTTCTTACAGCATCAATTTCAGATAAGTTTTTCATTTCCTTGTACTTTTTAGCGTTTGCTATGAATCTTTCCACATGTTCGTAATCCCTATTACCGTTGTATGACACCGCTTGCGCAAACGTACGTGCACGTTGATTCGGTAAGTCGGACATGGTGGATAGACTAACAGAGGATTGAATCCTAGGAGGCTAGGACACAAAGCTCTGGAAGCAACACCGATCAATGTATGTAAATCCAAAAATGTCAGGAGCCTGCTAAGTGCAAACTCCTAGGCGAGCAAGAGTAACTTTTTGCAGCTCTATTCTTTGCAGGCGCTTCCTCACTTAATCCGATCACTTTCACAGTATCGTAGAGTTAAGAGTCCTCAATAAACACTCACTGCACTTTTTCACTTACTCACTCACTAATATCGTCAACTATCACTTGTGCAGAAGAGCCATGGCACTGTCTACTACTGCACGTTACTCGATTCCTTGAACTTGACGGTTCATTCTTAACCACGGTAGGTCATGTTTCGCAGGAAAATCTTAACACCGCGATTCAGCGATCAAGTAACGCCATCTAGAGAGCGATGAGGTAAATTTTATGTGAAGATGACATTCTTGTTTTTATTGAGGTGATCAAGAACGTTAACTCCAATGTTTTGTAATGTTTTTGATATTTTAAATTCTTTTTTTATTATTATTATACTGGTATAATAATAATAAAAAAAAAATAAGAAGATGTTCTGGAACAAGAACGATGTATATAAATAATCATAAAGTGAATAACTTTACTATTAGTTAATATTTTTTTGTTTTCTAAATTATTTCATTACTTATTATGATTTTAATATTTTTGAATGTTGTTTTTAGAATTTTTATAATATGTAAATAAAGTTAATAAAGAGAAATGTTTTTATTGATTTTATTACATTACACTAACTGACCCGGCAAACCAAATTTTTCTTTTCTCATCTTTGAAACCTACTAAAATTAGCCAAATCGGTTCAGCTCAAGATTTAGCGAAACTAACGAATGAAAATTCCGTTTTATTTAGATAGATTTAGTGTGAAAAATTGCTCAACGCGTTACCCGTTTTCATGTATCTTGATATTATATTACCAATCAGCTACATATTAACTAAAAATACTATATAAAATAAAACAATGACATACACAACACAGACTTTATTTCCAGCAAGTCTTTGAGAATGAATTAATTGAAGTTTAGTGCCTTCCCTCACCCCTTACAGATATAAACTGACATCGGTACTGTCGGCAATCACTTATTAATTTATTATTAATTATTTGGCTGCTCACTGAGGTCCCCGCGACACTATGATCACTGCTGACGGTACTAGACCTGGAAAAAAGTGATATTTTTTTAATGTTTTGTATCAATTTGTATTGTTCTGATCTGCATCCCCTGAATCTGACTGCACGGTTGGTGCGGTGGCTGGACAACCGGCTGCCGTGCAGCGTGCCGCGGGTTCGATTCCCGCACGGAACAACACTTAGTGTGATCCACAAATTGTTGTTTCGGGTCTGGGCGTCATGTGTATGTGAAATTGTATGTTTGTAAACGCACCCACGACACAGGAGAAAATCCTAGTGTGGGGCAAAGTTTTGTAAAAAAAAAAATCCCCAACAATTCTTAATCCGGCCGCCAACGCCTTTGGTGTTCCGCGTGTCCATGGGCGACGCCGATTGCTTATTATCAGGTGATCCGCCAGGGGCTTACTCTTGAATCAAATTCAGATCGATCGACATTGGTATTGAGAAATTTTGTACTCTTGAGTTGAAACACTAGCGCCCATTGCACGTATTGCGTGGATATATAATGAACGAAATGTTATTGAGTTTCGCCATAAATTCCATACTCTGAAGGCAATTTTAACAACCACGATAGGGATTGTATAGTTTTGACTTTGAATAATTATTGAGATTTTATTGGATTGAAATTGCATTGACATTGAGATTGGTTCCAAGAGTAAGCACCCTGCTCGTTTACCGGTTTATCCCTTAAAAACAGATACTCTGACCGCTAAAAACATAGCATTTTCTAATTCAATGACTATCTCGATTCCGCAATCGATTTTTGGTTAGTAGTCTATGAAAGTACGGATAAAAAAAACAGGTTCTATACCATTTTGATGGAGAACGACAATATCAGAATCGAAAAACTTAAAAGGAAGCAAAATTCAACCAAAAAGCCCAATTAATCTGTGGCAACATTATCTAATATTTCATTATCACAAATATTGGAAATACTGATATTCGTATTTTGTTGTTCTTCCTTTTAGATTCATCAGATTTTATGGTATAATTTTTATGTCTGGAGATAAAGGCTGCATGGAGAGTAAGACTCCTTTCTTAATGAGCAGATGCATAAAAAAAGTTAATAATATTTACAACAAACCTAATAAATCCAAAGGTTTGTCATAGTCTTCTGAGGTGAAGATTTTCTTAGGGAATGTGGTCATCATCTTGAAACTGTCCTGTTGGGCGTACTCAGCTGCGTTCATTTGTAGATACAGTCTGGAATAAAGAGTATTAAATATTAATTGTATATTATGATTCCCCGTTTGAATTGAAACTGGTCAACGTTTTCTCGAATAGATCATGCGCAAGGCTGCATATTATTAATTATATTTTTACTAATATTATAAAGCTGAAGAGTTTGTTTTTTTGAACGCGCTAATCTCCGTAACTACAAGTCTGATTTGAATAATTATTTTTGTGTTAGATAGCGCATTTATCGAGGATGGCTATAGGCTATAAAACATCACGCTACGACCGATAGGAGCTGAGTAGAGCGTGTGAAACCGCGCAGAAGTAGCTAGTTATATTATATACATATATTAATTTATGACGGAAATTAACACCCACAATTCATCCCAAATCAAAATCTATCAAAAACGAAAATCAATTCCAGTGATTTTGGATAAAGATAGTTTTAATTAGGTTGATAATTATTTTGCAAATAATATTTTAAGGTCAAAAACAAAGAACTTCTTCAGCAGCTGGAATATATCCAATGCTGAATAAAGCCTGCCACCTTAATTCTGTTCGGCATTAACTATGAACACCACCTTTTTTTTAAGGGGGGAAAATCATCCAATGACTTCTCCCGCCTTGGATTGGCGAGAGGGAGTGCCAGACTCTTACTGACTAAAAACCACGCCGTTCCTACTCCTGCTCTTCGAGATGGAGCCCCGGGAACCCGTAAGGCCTTCCGCGGCTCCGTATCGAGTATCAGCCCTACTGGGCCCCATCTATGGTAGTCTGATGGCTCTTTGCACGCGGAACGCGACGCGCCGTACGCTCAGGTCTGGTTCTGGTCGGGCGGCGAGTTACCCTTGCTCACCATCCGCAGACCCGTACCTACGGTAGCTTTGAACACCACCTGGCTTAGGGTTACTGATAGATTAAGTTTAAAGGATACTATTGCGAATGCCCAATTCTTTTGTCGATCAGCCATCGCAGTTTTCGTAGTGTCTATAATTTTCAGCACTAAATCGTTTATCACTTTGATTAAAATCCATTTTTACAAGATAAAAATGATACTTCAGTAGGTATATTGCATATAATATTACTTTATTATTATGTACCTACCCATTTCTACGTAAATACGTACGTCACGCGTGTTATTCCCCCGAAATTACTATTTATGTTAGATACGAATTTCATCGAGAATGGCAAGTTTTTTCTTTTTTTTTGTTCTACTTAGATTTGAATAGAATTCAATTCTATTTTGATTCTTTTTATGGATATTTCTTAAGAAAGACTACAAACTATACACTACAAGTACTATATTTCCTTGCTGTGCCCGACAGAGTCCACAATGTTCTATGTTACCACCTAAATCAAACATTGTGAAATACAATAAAGCATTTTTATTTGTACTTATAATTTTTATGTCATAAAATGATTGATGAAACACTGATAAACAGAATAAGGGTAAACTCTAGCATTTTTAACCAAAACAAGCTACTTCCGCGCTGTTTCACATGCTCTGCTTAGCTCCTATTGGTCGTAGCGTGATGTTTTATAGCCTATAGCCATCCTCAATAAAAGCACTGTCCAACATAAAAAGAATTATTCCAATCAGACTTGTAGTTACGGAAATTAGCGCGTTCAAACAAACAAACAAACAAACTCTTCCGCTTTATACAAGAGTATAAGATGAGAAACATTCAATAAGTACCTGACTGCAGCCAGTTGTTCCTTGGCACCAAATGTATGTGCAAGTGCTTTGCCATCAGGTAGTCGGATCTGTATGCGTGCCTGCTCATATGCCACTTTAGGTGCCGGAACACTCGGCGGGGGCACCACTGCTGCAGGGGCCACTACTACTGGGGGCTGGCCACCTGCTGCTAACCTGGAAATTAAATCAAGGCATTTCACTTCAAAGAACTAAGAAATGTGTAAAATATGAATAAGATCGAAGCTAAAAGTGAAAAGAAGTAAGTCTCGTTCAAAAAAATTACAAAAATTACGAGTGCATAATTGGTTAATGCAGTGACTAGGCATTGAATACTATGCAATGTCATAGTGTGTTTGATTGCCATACAGAAAATGGCCACCCACGACACGGGAGAATATCTTAGTCCCATACTAAGATTTTCTCATTGCATTGTACATTTTTATATTTGTGTATTTTTATTATATTGCTAATGTAATATATCTATTGTAGGTACTCTTCTTTTTTAGTTTTTATTGTGCACTTAACTACCTGATTTCTTATAAAAATTCCATCCAAAGGTTGTCTGGAAGAAATCACCATTGTGTGATAAGACCGCCCATTGTACGCATATTTACTTGAATTGTTTTTTACTTAGGCTACTTAAATGTGTACAATAAAGCATATATAAATAATGTTTAAACACAATTTTTTTCTATCTTACTTCCGAGCCTGTTTATCTGCTTCGATCTGAGCACGGACACGTTCCCTAGCCTTCTGATCCTCAATTTTCTCGCGTCGCCTCTGTTCCACTAACTTCTGCATCTCTTGCTCCTGAAGCCGTTGGCGGGCATCCTGCATCTCCTTGCCAGATTTGATACGGATACGCTCACGTTCTAATGCTTCAGCCTGAAAAATTTTGTGTAATCGTTGAATTGACTTACTTATCAAATAATTAACACTCAACTTATGATGAATTTCAATGAATGCCTAAATTAAATGAATAAAAAATAATGTGATAGAAGTACACCAAAATTATAATTGGTTGTTGTTTTCTCCTTTGGCTGTTCTAATAAGAAATTATTAGGAGACAGTTATAATTACATGTGTATTTATGTGATAATCAGAAAAATACACAATGTAACTTCACAAACACAACAAAATGTTAAGTGCCGGGGACTGTAATACTATGAAAATCAAACCTTTTCCTTTTCTTCTCTCTCTTTTCGTTTCTGTTTCATTCTCTCCTCGAGCAGCATCAGTTGAGCCTTCTTTTCCTCCTCAGTCAGAGGTTTCTTCTCTTCAGTCGACTCAGAGAAGCTACTGTGATCAGTCTTCGCTGCGTGGTACTCCATTTCATCCTGATTCTTGAGCAATTTGCCGCAAACATCGCATTTGAATGACTTCGCTTCGGGTTCCGGCTCAGCACCGGCTGGGGTCTGAGATGAAGTGGATGATTCTGCAACAGGAGCCGGTGCGGCTTCCATGCTCGATGATGTACCAATCGTCGCTCCAGTGTCCATTGCAGGGTCATCAGCATGCGCCAGTAGCCACTCCATCGCTGGCTCTACCCCCTTATAGTTCGTTACCGCCAGAGCTTTCTCCCTAGAAGCAAATAAATCATCCCACATTATAGGTTACCGAATAAACCCCGTAGGTATTTGTGTACAATGAAAAATAAAAGTTGTTACTCACGCCCGGTCTTTCGAGAATCCCATTTCGATAAGTGTCTGTATTTCAGCCATTACTACGTAATTTATTAAACCTATTTAACTATTTCACTAATTTACCAGTTCACCATCAAAATACGAATTCATCATTCATCTGTCAACAGCTGATTTTTTAAAGGCATAGCACAGATTAAATTTCGTTACGTTTCGATTTACACAAAAATTGTACACAAGTTTTAATATTTAAAGATTGTCATTTTTATGTTATAGTTAATCCAAATAATTCTTATAAATAATAAAAAAGTGCACGTATGTTAATGTTGTTATTTATTATAATTTTCATTTTTACCAAAACGACGCGGCAGTCCACAGATAAAGAGGCGGTCTATTCAAAATGTATGCAACGTAAATATTATGTACCTGTCAGTTTTGAGGTGTTTTGTGGCTATTGAGGTGGATTGAATTTTAAATCCCTCTCATTTATCTGATATCATCTTCACAAATTACAAAACGGAAAAATGACTACATTGGCTCATAAAAAACCTAGACGCAAGAATATTCAACATAGTGATCCCGGAAAAATTTTGGATTTAGTGATGAGCTTGACTGATGATACATGTAGCGAAATACAGATAAAAATCAATACGTATGTACGTAACTACAATTTTCAGCGATCTTCCCAACAATATAAAGTATTTTGTTGTCTATCTAACAGTTATGTATGTATGCACTGAATTTTTTTACTACAGCAGCCGGTCTTCTATTTCTATCCAGTGCCCCAACGCAACCATGCAGTGTGAAAGATGAAGAAAATTCCTATTTAAATTATAAAAAAAAAACATTTACACAATTAATTATTTTATTATCTTTATCTATTTATTTATAGTTAACCGAAGAATGTGAAGCGGAATTAGTAGTGCCAGTGATAGTACATCGCGAACGTAAGGAAGCGTTTATAGAAGTTGTTGGAATTGCAGCTTTACAGCGAAAGATGAAAATTCACGTATGTTACCTTACCTAGTTACTTTTACATCTCATTATTACCTACCTACCAATGATGCTTGCAGCTTGCTTCTGTGTTCAATTTTAGGTAGGGCAAACTATTATTAGATATTTTTCTAACTAAATACGTTGTCGTGCTTAATAAAATGTGTTTCCCTACCTTGGTTTCACTTAGGTTGACCTACTGGTTGACCAGTGAGTACGAAATCCTAATATTTATTATCCTCTATCATAAAGCCTCTATCATACCTTTTTATTATATTACTATCAAAATATTTCTTTCCAACAGTTATCTTCAAAGCTTATAGATACGTTAAAAACTAATGTGGAACAAACGGATCTTCTGTCTAACTTTGGGGAAGATTTCCAAAGTATTCTTATTCCCGTGAGTATAAAAGACAATTATTCATACTTCAGCCGTTTTGACTTGAAAGAGTACCAAACAAACAAAGATAAAAATTGAAATCAAATATAATATTAGGTACTAGGAAAGCTTAAACTGTGATCAGCAGTCGCAGAATTGGCGACAGCGCTCTCTAAATTTTCTGTTATCAAACTGCAGTACCTAAAAGTCACCTGCCTGTCTACTATGGGGACCAAATAAGGACATGGGTATGATTGTTATAGTGTTAAACCCTTCTTCAAATGTGGGAGGCATTTGTTGACCAGTGGATATGTATGTCTCGACTGTTAAAATGATGATGATGAAAACCTTTGAGTGGTTATCTTTATACAGTAGGTACAGCTACAATACCTATAGAGTACTTACAGATGAATTTAAAATTTGACCATCAAGAGGTTGTCGACATTATAAAGTAAAATAATTTCCCCAATCCCTCCCATCTTCGACTCCCAAATCCCAAACCTCTAAAAGACGGCGACGCACTTGTAAGTCCTTCGTGTGTTGTAAGTGTCCATGGGCAGCGTCGACAGAAATAAAAAAAAGTGTTTTTTATTTTATCTATGGTCATCAAGTGATAGGTCAGCTCGTTTTCGTTTGCCGCCCTACACCGCAAAAAACTTACTGATACTTAAATGAAAAATCTTTAGGAAATAGACCTCCGTCTTCCTCATTCATTTGTTCCTTACCTTTAATTGCAGCATTTAGGAAAAGACACCATAAAGAAGCGTCTGGTTCTGTTTTCCGTCATCGACATTCCATTTTCCGTAATTTTCTGTATAGTGGCACCGAAAACGGAAGAAAGCAGTGTTCCGCTCATAATTTACGAATGTGGACTGTATGTAATATAATAATTATGATTAGATATTATTTACCTACATATTTTGTTAGGCATACAAATATAAAAAAAACTAGACTTCCGCATTGGTCGTGTACAATCCGAGTACACGAATTGCACATAGGATTTAGATTTTCCGGTTTACGGTTACATTCCTTATATGGATAATAAGCATATCCGTTCGGGGTATAGTATAAAATGCAACTTGTTAAATTAGGTGCCTAATCACTACATAATATAAAACAAAGTCGCTATCCACCGGCTGTCTGTCCCTATGTATGCTTAGATCTTTAAAACTACGCAACGGATTTTGTTGCGATTTTTTTAGATAGTGATTCATAAGGAAGTTTTATATGTATAATACATGCATATTGCACCCGTGCGAAGCCGCGGCGGGTCGCTAGTTAAATATCAATATATATAAAAGAAAGTCGTGTTAGTTACACCACTTATAACTCAAGAACGGCAGAATAGATTTGGCTGAAAATTGGTAGGGAGGTAGCTTAGAGCCAGGAGACCGACATAGGATACTTTTTAACCAACATTTTTTTTTACTTTTTACCGAAAATCACGAACAGCGACGCGAAACAATGGGATTATGCGTACGAAGTCGCGGGCAGAAGCTAGTAATAGATAGTTTTTCTTAATATTTTTGTTCTTAATTATTCTGTATCTAACGGTGTCTATAGATTCGTCTGGCCAACGTTGAAGAAGACGATTGCTTTGGAGTACGAAAATACTTTGAAAGTAAAATGCCAACAACTGTTGCGTGTCGCCAAAAGACTATTTACTCAAGTAGGTATACTGTTTTTAAGTGTAAATAGATACAACAGTAAAAGTGGATGTCTAGTCTATCCACAAACTCTTAATTTCAGTTTGATTACGACTAACTCTCAGAAACTGGTCGGGATTGCTCAACTACTTAGTTTGAAATTTTCAAATCACATCGGGGCTTTCTCATTTTTAAAAAACGTTGCCCCATACTAGTACCTACGGAGAACTTTACCGGGGCTCCGGCTCTACGTGCAGCAGAAGGAACGGGGTGGTTTTTAGTCAGTAAGAGTCTGACACTCCCTCCCGCCTCACCCAAGCGGGAGCAGTCATTCGACGATTTACCCCCTTAAAAAAAATATTAGTACCTATTATCTCCTGTGTCGTGGCTGCGTAAACAAACATACGATCTGTGGATCACACAAAGAGTTGTTCCCGCACAATCGAACTTGCGATACGTTGCGCGGCAGCTAAGTAATTGTCCCGCCACTGCGCCAACCGTGCAGTCACTTTTAAATTATATTATAGAACACTTAAGTACTTATTTCTCTGTGGTTGTTTAATTTTTTTTTTTAAATTTTAAGATAAGGCCTTCGCAGTACACTTTAATACTATTTCATATGTTTTCAGGTAGCATCGTTAGATACCTTGCTAAAAATTGCAATGGATCAAGCAAAACAATTGACAAAGGCCGAACAATGTATCGTGTGGCTAGTTGATGTCGATAACATGCAGCTGTACGAGTCCTGCTCCACCTATAAGGTTTTTGACACAATTTTACTTATTTATAGAAAGTAGCGATGCGACATAGTAGCGATAGCGTCGTGGTGGCCCGGAGGTTTAAGACGCCCGCTTCTCATGCATGAGGGTACGGGTTCCAAACCTAACAACGGCAAGTACCAATGTGACTTTTTCCAAATTATATGTACTTTCTAAGATTATTCAGACACCACTGACAAACGGTGAAGGAAAACATCGTGAGGAAACCTGGGCTTATAATTTCTAATTATAAGTTTGTAATCGCCAACCCGCATTGAGCAAGCGTGGTGATTAATGCTCAAACCTTCTCCGTGTAAGAAGAGGCCTTGCTCAGCAGTGGGCATTTATAGGTTGTTGATGAATGATGAATGATGAGCGATGCGACGGTTGGTGCGGTGGCTGGGCATTGGGTAACCGGCTGACACGCAACATGTCGCGGGTTCAAGGTTCTTACTCTTGAAACCAATTTCAATGTCAATGCAATTTCAATCCAATAAAATCTCAATAAATATTCAATGTCAAAACTATACAACCACAATCGTAGTTGTTAGCATGCAGAGTACGGAATATAAAGTCAAACTCAATACCATTTATTTATTTCATTCAATATCCACGCAATACGGATGCAATGGGGCCAATGGGTTCTGGTGTTGCATTCGAGAGTACGAAATTTCACAATACCAATTTCGATCGATCGGAATTGGATTCAAGAGTAAGCCCCCTGGAGGCCATACACGCTAAGTTATGCATGATGGTTATAACTTTGCATGCAAAACCGACAAACATAATCAAGCATCGATGCACCGATAACTGTACAGTATAATCACATACACGCTAGAGCTTGCCTGTCGGTTATGCTTGCACGGCTAAAACCATCAAGGCCTCCTTTCGATTCCCGCACGGAACAACTCTTTGTGAGATCCACAATTTGTTGTTTCGGGTCTGGGTGTCATGTGTATGTGAGCTTGTATGTTTGTAAACGCACCTACGACACAGGAGAAAATCCTAGAGTGGGCAAAGTTTTTTTTAAAGTAAGGATTTCGATTTACTCCTCTACCCATAGATATAATAAAGAAGGATAATAAAGACCCACAAAAAAAAATTAAATTAATGTTTGTGGGTCGACCAAAGTATTAGATAAGTACTAGGTACTTCTTAATACCCGTTTCAAAAAATCCTCAGCAGTAGCACGGCGCTTCTATTTGTCCCTGCAATAGAAACATTATTGCGTGATGTGTTTATACCACTAAAGTGAAGTCGGGTGTTCTTTATACTATGTCGGGGGCAAACTTTCGCTTATCCAAAGGGAAGACCTATCATGCTAGATTTAACTACTCGCTACTTGACTGCTTCGTTGGCCGAGTAAGTGCGACTGCCGGGCAAGAGGTCTCGGGTTCGATTCCCGAGTCGGGCAAAGTATTACTGGGTTTTTAAATATTCTCAGTAGTAGCACGGAGTCTGGAATTGAGTCCGGTATATGGCAATAGGCTCACCCCCTATTACATGGGACTCATAACATAAATAGTAAAAAGTGGGTGTTACATTGTACAGTGGTAATAATGTGCACCTCTTCCTACCCCTTCGGGGATAAAAGGCGTGATGTTATGTTATGTTATTTTGAACTGTGGGTTATATTGAACTCTCTCAATCTCAACAATAACTTGCAATTTGTCATCGCTAAGTCAAGTAACGCCAGTGTAATTGATTTTAGGATGAATCCTCAGGCCGCCGATTTCCACTGGGCATGGGGATCGCAGGCGAGGTGATCAAGACTGGGGGGTTGATCAACACTCGAGTTCCACAGGAACATCCCGCTTATAATCCCGCAATTGATGGAATACCAAATCTTGAGTGCAGGTACTTAATTAAACACCTCACGCACCAACCGCCGCGGGAGACACATCGGGGATCGCTAGAAGATCTCCGGCCACTGTAAGCACGGGGCTGCGGACGGTGAGCAAGGGTAGCTCACCGCCCGATCAGTGTCAAATTCCAGCGTATAGCGCGTACGGTGGGACGTTTTCCGAGTACGCCTCAAAGAGCCATCATACCACCACAGATGGGGTCCAGTAGGGCTCATCGGAGCCGCGAAAGGGGCTCTGGCTTGCAGTAAGAGTAGGGACAGGGTGATTTTGAGTTCGTAAGAGTCTGATGCTCCCGTTTGCCTCACCCAACGCGGGAAGAGTCATAGGATGATTATCCAGCTTAAAAAATACTTATTTTACTATATACGTAAAGAGGGACTGATTTTATCTCTGATCAAACGGTATTTGTATTTTTTTTCGTATTTTTTGCAAACTTGTCAGTATATAGCGCAAAGTTTGGAATTATACTCGTACCGTTAAGTAGTATTAAGCTCTCCCCCTAATATTTAAAACTGTTTTATCATACCTTATGAAAAGTGGTTGGCCCTTTCAGAAATATCCTGTGTTTTCCAATACGAGAACAGACGGGAATCATTGGTGTGGGCCAACTGATAAACAAGATAACGGACCCTTATTTTGACGGCATGGACGAGGAGATGGCACTGGCTTTCAGCATCTACTGCGGTGTCTGCATCTTGCACTCCGTGGTCTACCAGAAGATTCAGGAAGCTCACATTAGGAACGCTCTCGCTAACGAACTTATTATGTACCACATGAAGGTTGGTTTTCGTCTTTTTGACTCGTAACGCTATTGAGACTTCTTAATCTACTCATTACTTAACTGTAGTCATGATAAATGTTAGGTAACAGATGCCGAAGTGTCCCGTATGCTGGCCTGCACGGGTTTCCACCAGCATCCTCACGTGACCACTCTCCACTTCAATCCTCGCGCACTACCACTGCGGGAACTGCCCTGCTATGCCGCCAAGATGTTTGCAGACCTTGGATATGATGAAAAGTACGTGTTTTTTATGTTATATTGCCCTTTCTTTACGTCATATCGACGTTGATATGATGAAAGAATAACCACGTGGCACAGGAATGCCATAGGTAGAGAGAAAGTAGATCCCTTATGGATTATCAGAATGATATCCATTTGGGACTGATTCATTGGGGGGCCGAGGCAGCAGCGGTCTCTGACCATAAACTTGTATCTCTTGAACTACATATCAACGTGCCAGCCAATTATAGAGGTTATGGAAAAATCCCCAGTAGAAGAGACTTTCATATTAACAGTGGAATGTCACAGGTTTTTGATGTGATGTGGAAACCTATCGTCGGTCTAAAAATTGTGTTCTTAGGTTCAACATCAAACCGCCGAAGATATCCCGATTTATTCTTTACGTGAAGAAGGGTTACCGTGACGTGCCCTATCACAGCTGGACTCATGCCTTCAACGTGGGACAGTGGGCATTTGCTGCACTCATGAACTATAAGCTCGTCGCACATGGATACTTCACGTGGGTATTATTATCGACAAGCTTCTGACAGGTGCTTCACCGGTTTCCATCATGATTTTTATGCGCAGTGACCTGCAAGCCCTAATGTATTTGGTAGCGGCCTTCATGCATGATATAGACCATCGCGGCACCACCAATAGCTTCCAGATTCACGGAGGTAAGATTTTGTGCCATTATTGTTAAATGTTTATTAGGTAGGTCGCGATTTACGTCGTGGGTAAGTCAACTAATTGTAACTAGACTCGAAACAATAATTTGTGGATCACACCAAGAGTTGTTTTGTAGGATACTATATGATGCACAGCTAAACGCTACGCTGCGGAAACTATGCAGTAGGTATTGTTTTTCGTAATTTCAATTTTTATGGTCCCTTTGAAATTTTACAGCTTTCATCGACTTCAACTTAGCAGAAAATATGACTTAATTAATAAATATGATCCACACAGAAACGACGTTAGCAGCTCTTTACTCCAGTGAGGGTAGCGTTATGGAGCGCCACCATCTGGCACAGGCTATGTGCATACTCAATACTGAGGGATGTGACATTCTGGAGTCTCTGCCACGAAGAGATTACGACAGAGCCATCATGATGCTTCGAGACAATATTCTAGCTACCGATCTAGCTAATTACTTCAAGTAAGTGGTATATTACTGGGTTTTTAACAAAATCTCAGTTGTAGCACGGAGTCCTGAACTGTGCCCGGTATATGGTAATAGGCTCACCCCCTATTACAAGGGACCCATAATATAAATTGTGAAAAGTGGGTGTTATTTCTGCCTACCCCTTCAGGGATAAAAGGCGTTATGTTATGTTATGACGTAAGTGGTATATCATCATCAGTGGTGTGTTTTACTATCACTCCCTTCTGCTTCATCCAAGGATGGGAGGAGTCATTAGATGATTTCCCAACTTCTTCTAAAATAAGAATTTAACTTTTGACTCTTCAACCATATAGGAACTTCGACGAGTATAAAATAGTATCGATGGACTATCAAAAGAGCAACCGAACTTCTGCCTACCCCTTCGGGGATAAAAGGCGTGATGTTATGTTATGTTAATATGTAAGTGGTAGGTATATCGTCATCAGGGGTGTTTTTTAGTATCACTCCCTTCTGCTTCATCCAAAGAAGGGAGGAGTCATTAGATGATTTCCCAACCTCTATCCTTACTAATATTATAAATCGGAAAATGAGTTTGTTTGTTTGTTTGTTTGTTTGTTTGTTCCGCTTTCACGCCGTAACTACTAAACCGATTTCTTTGAATTTTTGCAGACGTAAAGTTAGAAGTCCGGATTAAATAATAGATTACTTTTTATCCCGGAAAATTTTGATATTCCCGAGGGAAAACAAAAGCATTGATATAGATGGCGCTGTGTGTATTGGTATATGTCACATAGGCTACGTTTTATCCTTTTATGACGCGAGCGAAGCCGCGGGTAAAAGTTAGTTTAAAATAAGGCATTTAACTTTTCAACCATTATAGGAACTTTGACGAGTATAAAATAGTATCGATGGACTATCAAAAGAGCAACCGAACACATTTTGCTGCTTTACAAGCCTTGCTGATGAATGCGGCCGACCTCGGAGATCAGCTCAAAGACTGGGGTTGTGTGAAGAAAACTGCTGTTAGTAACACCTCGTATTATTCTTTTATAATAGACCGTTGTAGAGGTGTGCAACACTAGTATGCAATTGTTTATACAGTTGCATACTGGTGTTGTTTTAAAGACGCGTCAATTTCTAGGAGGTAACTCGGCTATCGATTCTAAGTCCGAATCATTAAAACAAATTGTAGGTAAATATTTTTCATTTTTCTGAAATTACGGAAATCTGTAAGTGCGGCGTACCTACACGTCGGCGTCTTGTAACTAGCTTTATAACGCGGCTTAACACACACAAACTCAAACACGTAATTGATATTATTCCTAATACCATAAAACTCCAATAAGAAACATTGCTGTCGCTTATTCTGAAATACTGTCGAACTTAAACGATTTATTATAGCCGTATTTAACTATTGGCCCGAAACTTTCTCTTACATTGAACCTTTATGACTTCTGTGACATGGCCCCGAGAAATAACATGGCTTCAAAACTACACCTTGTATAATACGTATACGATTGTATGTGTGAGGTGTCTACTTACATTATTCCTTTAACCCAAGCAACTGTGTCCAGTCGATGATATTATATGTAAGAGTTAACACGTTCCTTAGTTATCCGCGTGTCAGTTGCAATAAATTATTATAATGTAATTGTATGTCTGTATGACCTAGTGTGTGTAGAACAATATATTTTGTAGCAGTGCTCACTTTCATTGACCGATTAATAAAGACAGCAGGGTAAAGTTCACTATCCGGAGTTGGTCTACTAAGAGGACCCGGTGCCTCCTTCAAGTGCGGATGGTGGCCACCGGGGAGGTTTAAGTGAGGTAAAAATCTCACACTCCCTAGTCTTTTTCCCCAAAAAGCTAGGCGCCTTTGGAAGGTTTCCCCCGTCAACAAAAAAAAGGGTAAAGTTCACTAAAAATTAGATTTGGTGTTTGGCAAAATACTACATATCTAAATTAACTAAAAAATCGCGGGTTACTCACGTGAAAATACTGAGAAAAGCTCTACTAGTTTTGAACCACAGAGGGGATCTTCCTCATTAACAGCGTGTGCAGTCGCGGCGATGTCGCGCAGCGTTGGCGGTTGCGTCGGTGTTGTTACTTGCGCTGCGAGACCACGTTCCTTATAGTAGGAATCTAGATAGATAAGAAACTATAAGGTACGTGATGATGAACAATAGCCATTGCTCATAACTTCATAAGTAAAGTAAATTGTCGCATAGAACCTAGCGGGTAACCGGGGCTCCGGCTCGACGTGCAGGAGAAGGAACAGGGTGGTTTTTAGTCAGTAAGAGTCTGACACTCCCTCCCGCCTCACCCAGGCGGGAGCAGTCATTTGATGATTTTCCCCCCTTAAAAAAAGTAAAGTAAATTACCAATTATTTTCTAAAATGATAAAGTTAGTCATCCTTTCAGTGGTTTAATCGGGGGTTAAATGCTTTGGAAATCCTAACGATGATGGTATTTCAAAACTATGATTTACAATAGGCGGCGGTTTTAACGGAGTTCTTCAAGCAAGGCGAGTTGGAGAAGATGCGAGGGGATTCGCCAACCAGTGCTATGGACAGTGACAAGTGCTTCATACCGGAGTTGGAGATACAGTTCCTGCAGACCATCTGCCTGCCGCTATATGAGTGAGCTACTTTAATTAAGACCACGTTATTGAAAGTCGTTAGTTTTTTGCAATACACTGTTATTATTTTTAAACCAAAGAGTATTTAATCCAAGTCGTAAGTGTTGCCACTATAATTTATCCATAGATAATATTTAACTAACAATAGACAAGTTTTAAGCATTTTGATACACAATATTAACATAACTATAGGTCGTTATTAGGGTGGGTGGTGATGACGAGTAGATTGCATTTATTTTCTCCTCCCCCCTACTCCTCGCGGTGTCTCGTGGAGGGAGACTCCTCGCATATAAAAGGGTTAGGTTTTACACAGATCTTTAGTCGTTACTAACTTCTTATTGCAGTTTGATCGGCAAGATAATACCTAAAGCAGCGGTTTGTACTAAAATTATCGAAAACCATATGGAACGATGGGAAGCGTCGAAACCTGTGTTCGCAGAGGTAAGTTGCCTCACAGCTAGTGAGCTAGGCTGTACTGTAAGCTCGATCGCGGTCCGCCATTTCATTGGCGAGAATAATCTCGACCAATGATGAGCGACAATGCGACCGACCTCACTTTGAAAGTTCAAATTGACTTCTAACAGAATATCCTAACAGTGTACAATTTAATATTTCATTACTTTTTTACACTAACTCATTCGATACTTATGCAAAGGTATTTTGGATATGTCCAAAATACCTTCACCACTCTGAAACCGATTTATTCATCTACTAGCTTTTACCCGCGGCTTCGCTCGATCACAAAAGGATAAAAAGTAGCCAATGTGACAATCAATATATCAATACACACAGCGCCATCTATACCAATAATTTTGTTTTTTCTCGACAATATCAAATTTTTCCGATATAAAAAGTACCCTATTATTTAATCCAGACTTCAAACTTTACGTCTGCAAAAATTCAAAGCCATCGGTTTAGTAGTTACGGCGTGAACGCGGAACAAAGAAACAAACTCACTTTCCGATTTATAATATTATGTAAGTAAGGATCTCTTCTTAATTTACTTTTCTAACTTCCAGGTGCCTCTCACAGCTGGTCTCTCAGTTCTGCTGAGCCCTGAACTGGACACTCTCATAGAGATAAACCTCAAAGAAGCTGGCAAAGGCGACCTCATGGAATCTGAAACTATACCAGACACTAACACTACAATTACTTAAATATTATGCTAGGTATTAGACAAAAGCCAGCAACATAGGAACAGGAGACCCAGTTACCTCCCTCTCCGATCCCCAAACCCCAAATAATCCTTAAATTCCTAATCCCCAATAGGCCGGTAACACACTTGAGCGGCGCCAATTGCTTACCATCAGGTGATCCGTCTGCTCGATTACCGGCTTATGCCATAAAAAGCATCCCCAATCTCTAAAAGGCAAGTAATGCACGCTGTAACTCCTTTTTTAAGGGGGGAAAATGATCCAATGACTCTTTCGCCTTTGGTGAAATGAGGAGTGTCAGACTCTTACTGACTAAATATATACTTTGCCCGACCCGGGACCCCTAGTCCGGCAGTTGCACTCGCGACCACTCGGCCAACGGGGCAGTCACTTCTTTATACTTTCTTTTATATATTTACAAGGTGTAGTTTTGAAGCCGTGTCATTTCTCGGGGGCATGTCACAGACTTCATAAAGGTTCAATGTAAGAGAAAATTTCGGGCCAATAGTTAAAAATACGGCTATAATAAATCGTTTAAGTTCGACAGTATTTCAGAAAAAGCGACAGCAATGTTTCTTATTGGAGTTTTATGGAATTAGGAATAATATTAATTACGTGTTTGAGTTTGTGTGTGTTATGCCGCGTTATAAAGCTAGTTACAAGACGGATTTGCGTAATTTACAGAAAAATGAAAAATATTCACCTACCATTTTTTTTATTGATTTGGACTCAGAATCGATAGCCGAGTTACCTCCTAGAAAATGACGCGGTTTTAAAACAACACCTTGTATTTGTCCTTACCAATGACGGGGTCACGTCATGATCCCGGTCATTTGGGAGGCATACGAGGGGCCGAAACCCAACTGAGCAGAGGTCCTTTAGACAACTTTAATCTAAATGCAATGAGACACATTATTTGTCCTCATTATTAGTAGTTTTCGTTTTTATTATCTGTTCTTAGATATTATTATAATCATGTTAGTTGATTTTTTAGAAAAATAGTTGTTCAGTTTATAATATGGGAATATGTTTTTAATTTTCAAATGTGAATAATGTTATAGATGATATAGAATATTTTGTTTGAAAAAATAAAAAATGTGACAATTAATTATCTATGTTTTTATTTTCTATTAACATTAAAGATGATTATTATAAAATCAATTGATTGGTTTTAAATGCGAGATTAATATAGAGGAACAAAATCTTAAAATACACACGTTTCAGAATAATTGTTAACATTTTTACCACTGGGTTATCATTAGCTTTTTGATACATTTTTAAAAATTTTCTTATAACATAACATAACATTACGCCTTTTATTCCCGAAGGGGTAGGCAGAGGTGCACATTACGGCACCTAATGCTACTATACAATGTAACATCCACTTTTCACTATGTTATGAGTCCCATATAATAGGGGGTGAGTCTATTGCCATATGGCAATAGACTCACGGAGTCTGAAATTACATTTACAATTACCGGTATATACCGGGCACAATTTCAGACTCTGTGCTACTACTGAGATTTTAAAAAACCCAGTAATACTCTGCCCGATCCGGGAATCGAACCCGAGACCCGTTGCCCGACAGTCGCGCTTGCCACCACTCGGCCAACGAGGCAGTCTCTAATTTCCTTATCTTTATAATAAAATCATATCTATATAAAAAAAATGAATTTGTATTTGTATCAATTTTGAAATGAATTATATTAATTTAGCTACTTATGCCAAGATAGAAGTTATAATATACATATTATAGTTATAGTTGACAATAGTACTTCTTCATTTTCAAAGTCGGTTATAACCAAAGGAAATTCAAGTTAGAGGTATTTTAAAATAATCACAGTTCGGAATGATTTTAATTTCTTTGGCAATGGATATTTAATCTAAAATCCTATTTCGTACCTGTTTTACTTTTGTACCTACATAAAGTATTAATTGAAAATAATTTAATAAAAATATATGTAAATTAATATAAAAATAAAACATACATTATACCTTGATTAAATCATCGGTAACTTTAAAACAAATCCAAAATTAAGTAAAGTAATAGGGTATTTCCTAAATTTTATTTTAATGTCCGTCTGGTACATTAATTTAAAACTTTAGACACGATTTTTTGTTTTCTCACAAAATTAAATACTTTCGACGATACATTAATTTCAAATATCGTGTGACGTCACCACGTGTCACATTTTGTAGCACGTTATGACGTATCAACTTCCCACTCCTAAACTTAGCGCCATTTTATCTAAGTATTGCAACTTAATACGAGAAAATCAAAAAATACGTGTCTAATATTTTTTCATTATCTAACTGACGCAGTAATTAGATTTTTAATTTTGATACCCTGGAAACTACACAATTATACAAAAATCACTCGATTGTAAAATCGATTCGATTGACACGAGAATCGATTTAGTTAAACATTGAAGACTGAACTAAAGAGGGCCATTGTTTTTGAGCTTAACAGATAGCGCTAAAATAGCAGAAGGTCTGTTGGTCCAATCATTGTAGATGTCAAAAATGTATAGTCCAATGGTTTGACGCAAGCTAATAAAATTATCTGTTGGACAAATACATTTGATTAGCGCCATCTGTTGAGTAAAAAAAGCAGTAGCCCACATTAGATGAACAAGGTATACCTGTAATAATTATTATTACAAGTTGTGATTATGTAATTTCTATAATAGTTTAGGGTTTAACCTAAGAGACCGTTTTCTTTGGGCTGCAGTAATTCTTCTACAAACTCCTTCACCATTACCTTCAATTTCTCGTTCATTGATTCTTGTTCACTGTAAATAAAATAATATGCTTAGATTAATATCTACAAAATAATAAAATCATCTAAACATTTTAAATAAATTCACATTAATTACTGGAAAAGGTCGCAAAAATTTAACGGATTTTCAAGCAAGTGATTTCAGTTTCGATTCCTAGATCGAGTAAAGTTAAAGTGTGATACCACGAAAAACACTTCATAGAATTTATTACAATTGACGGAAAGTGGATACACAACATATTAATCTTCGATATCTAAGTTCACTCGGAATAATCAAATCGAAATCTGAACAATAATCGTATTGAAATCGGACCTAAGTATTTCGTCCCCTTTCAAGGACAAAAAATAGCGAATTAGCGATGCTATTATACATTACTAGCTTGTACCCGCGGCTTCGCTCGCGTCACAAAAGGATAAAAAGCCAATGTGACATATACCAATACACACAGCGCCACCTATACCAATACCTTTGTTTTCCTTTGGGAATATCAATTTTTCCGGTCTAAAAAGTACCCTATTGTTTAATCCGGACTTCTAACTATACATCTGCAAAAATTCAAAGCAATCGGTTAAGTAGTTATGGCGTGAAAGCGGAACAAACAAACAAACTCACTTTCCGATTTATAATATTAGTAAGGATAATTTATATGAACTCTGCTTACCTTCTCGTAGGTGCTTCACACACAAGTTCGGAGTAGTACTTGAGCTTGGGTTCAGTGCCACTAGTCCGGAATGTGACGCTCAGTCCGTTACTGCAGCGGAACATTATCATCTCGCCCGACGTGTAGTCCTGGTCTAAACCCGTGCCTAGGACATCTGCAGGAGAAAATAAATAATAATATAAGTAAGTGTGGGAGAGCCATGCTTCGGCACGAATGGGCCGGCTCGACCGGAGTGATACCACGGTCTCATAGAAAACCGACGTGAAGCAACGCTTGCGTTGTGTTTCGTCGTGTGTGTGAGTGAGGTTACCGGAGGCCCAATTACCCCCTCCTAATCCCCAGAAGGACGGTAACGCACTTGTAACGCCTCTGGTGTTCCAGGTGTCCATGAGCGACGCCGATTGCTTACCATCAGGTGATCCGTCTGCTCGATTACCGGCTTATGCTATAATAAAAAAAGCAAAATATTACATTAGGGTAGGTCTAATGCTTTCGCCATCCCTAATCCTCAATCTCCATCCATTCTCCAAACTCATCCGTACATGCGTCCCCTCGTAAGTCCTTCGGTTGCAGGTGTAACTGGTGTTTTATAAATCCATGAACGATTGCTTACCATCTACGATAAAAGAAGTTCTTCCAAGGACAACGATATAAGAAGACACCTTTGTGCAAGGGACAGCTATGGACATCTATAGGTTGGTGATGAGGCATCGGGTTGTGTATCTAATTTACACTTTGTTACATAATAGGCATGCCTAATTTTTATTATGTCCGTCTGGTAGATTATTTTAAAACATTAGATACGGATTTTCTAACAGAAACAAAAAACCTTCACGAAATTGAAATATCGCGTGACGTCACTTCTAGGAACGTTTTATACGTAGAAATTACGTTGTAGCTCCCACTCCTAAACTTTGATTCGTTTTATCAAAATATTGTGTTCTTATATGACAAAATAAAAAAAACACGTGTCTAATAGTTTTTCGTTATCTAACTGATGGACTAATTAGATTTTAAATTTCCATACACCCATCATCATCCCTATTAACTCGTCGAGTACCGGTTTTATAGACACAATTAAAGAACAGTAGGTCGCGGTCACCGGTGACCGCTTGGTGTTTGACAGTTAATAGTCAAGGGAGGATAGTAAAAAAATATAATTAATACACCTCTTCCTTTCTTTAATGATAAGAGACATAATTATAAAGCAGGTACTGTAAGTTTATAAGATAAAATACTCACTCAGGTGCCCTTCGCCATTGGCCTTCTCGGGTATCTTGACTCCGGCCACGAAGTCGTTCAGAAACACAATCTCGCAATCACCGACTTTCTTAGGATACTGGAAATAAAAGAAATACATTTTATACAAATTATTTTAACAATAGCTTTGTAAATAGGCTGCTACACAATGTGCTGCTGGTTCGGTTTCCTAAAAGAATACTTAATTATTAAGAACACTGCCCGCGACTTCGTACGCGCAATCCTGTTTTCTCTCGTTCCCGTAGGATATTCAGGGTTTTTTCTGTCTTAAGAACCTTCTCGTAATAATAACAAATACAACAAAAAAAGAATTAGTGAAATCGGTCCAGCTACTTACGCGTGAGCCCGTGACCAAGGGAAAAGGGATTCATTTTTATATATATAGATTATTATTTAAGTGTGGGAGAGCCATGCTTCGACATGAATGGGCCGGCTCAACCGGAGTGATACCACGGCCTCACAGAAAACAGACGTGAAGCAACGCTTGCGTTTTGTTTCGTCGTGTGAGTGAGGTTACCGGAGGCCCATTAACCCCCCCCCCCCTCCTTCCTTCCCCAATCCCTGAATCCCAAACAATCCTCAAATGCCTAATCCCAAAAGGCCGGTAACGCACTTGTAACACCTCTGGTGTTCCAGGTGTTCATGGGCAATGTCGATTGCTTACCATCAGAAAAGCTCGCCATAAAAACAGCTCGCTATGCGTGTCATAATCGCCTTACCTGTCCAGGTCCACTGTAGTTCCTGATTCGTCTGAATATCTTCTGTATGGTGGCAGGTTCGTGACAGATGTAGTACTTGTTGTACGTGACGTGGTACCCGTACTGTGCGTACAGAGCGTGGAGCTGGTTCACTATGGACGAGCCCGACAGGTACAGGTGGGACGCTAGTGATGCCACCTGGGAGGAAAAAAGAATATTGAAGCGGTAACTGAAGTAGGAGGCTGTCTCGTTAGTTAGTCTTGAAAGTTCCAAATATTCTCGATTCAAGTAAAATATTGTCGGAAATTAATATTTTGGCAATAGATTCCTTACCTGATATATGGAGGATTGATTTTTGTTGAATAATAATAAACGAGATGAAAGTTTAACAATACGTTTATTAGCCGGTATAGATTACAGAGAACAGACAGAATGCACTAGCGCCACATGTGACAACAATCGGAAACTTTACTTTGATTTAATGTTTACTATTTCAACAATTTTACATGCCTTTTCATCAATAAACTATGGCATGGTATATCATTCTTGGTGAATTGTGTGGCATTCAGCTTTATTTATATTACAAAGCACAATATCAGATTTACATAATTATGTTTAGTTCATTATTAGGAGTTTAGGACTTTCAAACCATCTTTATCTTTATATAATTCTTCTGTGAGTGTGTATGTCACTGAACTTCTCTCAAACGACTGGACCGATTTTGATGAATTTTTTTGTGTGTTCAAGGGGATCTGGGAATGGTTTAGATTCACAAATCTGCCCGGCAGATGGCGCTGCAGTCGGTGTTTCGGTTATTTATCTATACCTATTATTACAGGACAACGTCTGTCGGGTCCGCTAGTCTTTATATATATAATAAATAATGATAAAAATAAAAAAAATAATGAATTTTTTTGTACTCGTTTGAGTGGCACTCTGGATGGTTTAGATTCACAAATCAACCCGGCAGATAGCGTAGGTTAGTTATCCAAACCGGCTGAACTAATTTGAATGAATTTTTGTATATGCAGGACAATGTCTGTCGGGTCCACTAGTATAATATAATTTAATACTTGAACACACATACCTGTACCGCGGCAGAGACGCCATCTTTCTCAGGCACGCGATGGTCACACATGTAGCCGATGGCTTCCTCGAACGCAAACAGAGGCATCTTGTTCTGCTGCGCTAGTAGGAGGGTTGTGTTGCCTGGAATAAATATATGACGAAATATATTAATGTGATATGGAGAAGTTGACAGTATAATGCTATCAGAAACCAGATGAAAACTTATTAGAAGAAAAATACAACGGCAAACTTTAAGAAGAATGTAATTAGAACAACTAGATAATTGTGAGTCATTCGTCGGAATACTGAAACGGTACTCAATTTTAAGTCGCGCTTAAGTATAGTTCTGTCTCCACAAATTCTTTGCAAAATGACAGAGATGGCACGATATTTGAGCACGACTTAAAATTGAATAACGTTTCAGTATTCAGGCAATTAAACCTCAAATTAAATAAATAAAATAAAATAAATTTATTTCAGACATATTGGGTCCATACATTTACAGTTTATTATTATTCAATATATATATTCTTAATTAATTTAATTTATTACATTATAACACCGCATTTCAATCATTCATTTTATTATATTGTCTTAAATTAACAAACTGACAAAGAAATATTGGTTACTAGGACAAATGTTTTGATGGTCTGACGAATCTCGAACAAATTAGCCCGGTTATCGGTCGCAAATGCGACTACCGGACGAGGGGTCTCGGGTTCGATTCCCGGGTCGGGCAAAGTATTACTGGGTTTTAAGAAAAATCTCAACAGCAGCACAGAGTCTGGAAATGTGTCCGGTATATGGCAATAGGCTCACCCCTTATTACATGGGACTCATAACATAAATAGTAAAAAGTGGGTGCTACATTGTACAGTGGTATCAAGTGCCGTAATGTGTACCTCTGCCTACCTCTTCGGGGATAAAAGGCGTGATGTTATGTATGTATGTATGTATGTATATTCATAAAAAACACAAAAGACTGACCCATCCACTTGAATCCAGTCAACGTCTCCACGAATTCTCCTTTTCCTTTAACAATAGACCGCAACATCTTGGAGCTGACAATACTGGCCATGATATACACCTCAGATTCCGGCATATGGTTGACTCTCTTGCCGTATTGTTCCAGCAGCCACCAGCCTAGTAGAGCTCCCATCTCGTTTCCAGTAAATATGTGCCAGGATTTTGTGCTGGAAGAAGAATATGTTATTTGTGAGCCTTTGTGTGAAAAGCAGCTGTAGCCAAATGCCATTTAGCGCTTGTCTATACAAGGTGTTGTTTTAAAGCCGCGTCGTTTTCTAGGAGGTAACTCGGCTATCGATTCTGAGTCTGAATCAATAAAAAAATTGTTGGTAAATATTTTTAATTTTTCTGTAAATTACGGAAATCCGTAAGTGCAAACTACACGCCGCCGTCTTGTAACTAGCTTTATAACGCGGCTTAACACACAAACTCAAACACGTAATTGATATTATTCATAATTCCAAAGGCGCTAGCTACGCCCCTGCTTGTAGGTGTAGTGTCGTTTGATAACAGCAACAAATAATATGTTTATCAAGATCCCCCTACTTTTCCCATAGGCATTTTAAGAAACGACCAAAGGACAATTGGCAGAGACCAACCTTTTTTTAAGGGTGGTAATCGAATGACTGAGAGAAGTAGGGAGTGTCAGACTAAAAACCACTTCGTTCCTACTCCTGCACTTCGAGCCGGAGCCCCGGCAACCCGAGATTCTCCGCGACTACCAACCTGTATTACTCTTTGATATTCGTAACCATAACATCGATTTCTATGCATTCTGCATTATATTTCACTAAGACCTCTTTGTGACTATTACTAAACGTATTTTTTTGAAAATCTCAATAATGGTCTCACCTATCATCAAACTCAGCGACCGCCAGTCTATCAGCATCAGGGTCGTTGACGAGCACCAGTTTAACATTCTTCTGTTCTGCCAGCTCTATGCTTAACTTGAGGGTGTCTAATTCTTCTGGGTTAGGGAACGTCACTGTCGGGAAGTCAGGGTTCGGGTCCTGTTGCTGTTTCACGCTTATTGGTTCCTGTAATTTTTCAAAATGACGTTGAAGGTACATATTTAAATGATGAACCGCGGAAGGTCTAACGGGTTGCCGGGTCTCCGGCTCGTAGAGCAGGAGTAGGAACGGGGTGGTTTTAGTCAGTAAGAGTCTGACACTCTCTCTCGCCTCACCCGGGCGGGAGGAGTCATCGGATGACTTTCAGCTCTCAAAAACAAAATTCAATGATATTGAACATTGTATTTGGTCTTGTGGATGTCTAAAATGCATTTGTCACGACTGCATCAGTCAGAGATCGGACAGCAGTGCTCTCTAAACATCTTTAATCTTTTAAATTGCGATCTTCAAACCCCCTGCCATACATGGAGATTATGACGATAAGTTTCTCTTGTGTAAAGATAGGCCAGCAGTTACTGCAGTGAGCTATCATGAGTTGTTGACATTGAGTAAATATTAAGAAAAAGTTCGACAACTTAGGTATAATATTATTGTATACAGATAAATGAAATGTAAGTGTCTGTTTGTAATACTTTAATATTAGTCCCATAATATTTAACTATTCTATACTATTGTTCTACCTGAAGATTGCTAGAAGTAATTAAGCCAATGTGCCATCTATACAGTCATAAATAAAACTTTACGTGTCTGTTTTTAATATTAATTTTACACACACACCAAAATAACATTTGTTTACAATTTTTGTCTGTCTGTTTGTACTAGCTAATCTCTGGAATGGCTGGACCGATTTTGCAAGACTTTTATTGGCTGCTAGCTGATAACTGTGCCTTCAGCCAAACGCCACTTTAGCGTATGTCTACAGAGAGAGTAGAAATCAAAATGTATGGGAATGACACTGACAAGTGTCAAAATTTACGTCAATCCCATATAATTTGGTTTTCTATTTAACATGTAGACAAGCGCTAAATGGCATTTGGCTACAGCCGCTTATATACTAAGGAGTAAAACATAGGTTACTTATATTTTGGAAAATAGAAACAAAAGAAGGAATGTTCCAAAATTCATATTCTACGCGGACAAAGTCGCAACCAACAGATAGTTTCTAAATAAGATCTTACCTTCAAATTAGCAGCAGCAAAAGCCTTCTTAACATATTCATAGCCGACTCCATGCATAGCACTGTAGACTACATCGATGGCTGCCTTTCTGTTTTCCTCCGCTACTTCAGGGCTGGGAGTGACGATGGTCTCCATGTATTTGTTGGTGACTTCATCATGACAGTCTGACACTAGAGGGTTGGAGCGAATGTCCTTAATATTCCAGTGCTCGTCCGGTATACTGAAAAGTGGCATAAAGATATTTTTTTAATTGGTGAATTCATTGTCATGTAATGGACGGAATAGATAACTTTGAATTTCATTATCATCAACAGCTTATAAGTGCCCACTGCTGACTAAAGGTCTCTTCTCGCACGGAGGTTTGAGCATTAATCACCATACTTGCTCAATGCGGGTAGGCGATTTCAATCTCATAATTAGAAGTTATAAGTCCAAGTTTCCTCAAGATGTTTTCCTACACCGTTTGTCAGAGATGTCTAAATAATCTAAGAAAGTCACATTGGTATTTGCCGTTGGTAGGTTTCGAACCTGCACCCTCGTGCATGCGAAGCGGGTGTCTTAAACCTTAGGGCCACCACGACATTTTTGAATTTCAATTTAGGAGTGGAAAAGCTACTCTAGGAACCCAAAACCTCACGTTTTCCAGTCGTAGTAGTAAATGTACAAAGATTTTGTTAATACACAAAATAATGACGTATTCTTTTGTTGCACATTACTAACCCCATGGGTATTGAACGTGCCATAAGTCCACTGATTATGATGCAATGCACGAATAACCTAACTAAACTTAACGACTGTCATTCTATCATAGGGCAACTCATTATACGGAGTATAGCATTCTGAGAACAGATTTTGTAAAAAAAACGAATCGAAAATTCATATTACTTTACTGATCGGGCCTCAGAGTTTGGGAATCAAACCCACTTATCTAACGCAACAATCAAAGCCCTCTGTTTTTTATGGGATAAGCCGGTAAACGAGCTGACGGAACACCCGATGGTAAGCAATCGGCGTCGCCCATTACACCTAGAACGCCAGAGGCATTACAAGTGTGTTACCGGCCTTTTGGGGATTAAGGTAGGGGGGTAGTTGGGCCTCCGGTAACCTAACTCACATGACGAAACACAACGTAAGCGTTGCTTTACGTCAGTTTTCTGTGAGGCCGTGGTATCACTCCGGTCAAGCCGGCCCATTCGTGCCGAAGCATGGCTCTCCCACACTTAAAAGCTCAAAGCCAAAATGTTACAGAGTAATTCAATTCTCAACAAGATAATAAATAATACACGTTCAAATAGATACTCACTCTAAACACTGCTTAATCTCATCAAGTACATTATCATCATGAGGTGCCAATATTTGGCATCCGTTTCTCCAGTACACTTTGTATCCATTATCCTCCCGAGGGTTATGGGATGCGGTCACCATAACTCCAGCTATAGCGTTGTAGTGTATGGTACCAAAGGACACAAGGGGTGTGGCGACCACTTCCCTAAACATGTGAACTGGAATTGACGAGGAGACGAATACTTTCGCTGTTAGTTCGGCGAACCTGGAAAAATAAGTATAATAACATCGATTTAAATAAGTTAAATGTGTTACAAATTCGCTGGGAAAATTATAGAATAGGAGCAATGCGAATTCGTAAGCTGCGTCTACGCTAGACGAACCAAACACGAGGTGAGCACGAGCTGAACACAATTCGTCTAGTGTGGACCGACTTTGACGTCGGTCGCTCAAGCCGACCATCATGGACACGTTCAAGTAAGTGATCGTTGTGTCTTCAGCTCGTACTCGGTTCGTCTAGCGTTCTTTAGTTCCCCACCAGGCGAGTCAAGCTATCATGAAATACTGCTCCTCTTTAGCTGACGTATAGTCCTAAACAGTTCATACCGCATTGTTAAAAAGAAACCATAAATCATAGTTAACTCTGATTATTATTTTATTGCAGATCATTTTGAAACTGAAATCTTTACAAAAATTGATCTGGACGCTCTAAACTGCATAAAAAATGGCGGAGCCGTGAACATCTTCTAATTGGTAACACGTTAGCCATTATTTAATCGCGACCAATTGAATCGAAGGCAATTGACTGGAGCTGCACTCAGCCAGTCTACATCCATAAAAGCAGTATGCAAACTGGATCCAATTGGCTGAATAGATACAAATGGTTGGCGACAAATATTGTGTTACCAAAATAATAAAGATTGATGGCAAACAATAACTGGACAATATGATGAAAAGATTCAGACAACTTTGAGATGAGATACGCTTCGTAGACTTAGTTACTGATCAAAAGAAGTCTACTTTTCGTATTTTAAGCGGCACAAGTCGACAAACTCGGTAAGCTATCGGCACTACCCAAAAGACACTCCGTAACAGCAGAGGATAATTCCTCCTTCCCATGTGATCGGGGATTTTGGGATTAGGGGGCATGATGGGCCTTCGGAACACAATGCAATCATTATTTCACATCAGTATTCTGTGAGGCCGTGGTATGAGCCATGCGATCATTCGTGGTGAATTATCGCGCTCTTATGTAAGGTAGCCAGTTAGCCATGTTTGCCATGTAATGACTGTATTATAAAATTTGGTGTGCTTATTTCTACTGTCAAACATCGGACAATTTTATTGAAAAGAGAGCATTGTCCTGTGCAAACGGCTCATGTTCATAACAAGCAATACTGTCCGGTAATAATGCTTAAGTTCCGAGTATGAATTTAACGACCGACATTTGAATACCCACGACAAACGACGGCGCAGGAATCGAGTGTTTTGTCTCTTGTAGGTGATTATTACAGAAGATGTCGTTGAATAAACTAAATGTTGGTTTCTAATATGATTTTTGGTGCGAACTGACTGATTGAACCAGATATGGGCCTTTTATACATAAAAGGCCATCACCACAGTCCTTTTACGAGGTGGAACTCTGTCAAATGTGTGTGCAGGTATGTGGTGTGGCTATTACGACACAGCGGGAAGAGCAGAGTGATGGACGAATTCCACCGTCATCACTAGAAGCCTCTGTCATTTTGCTATGCTCTAAAAGATTTAGTTTTATATGTGGAGACTTGGGAGTGTTTTTTTCTTAGCTACAAACAATTTCTTGGCACAAGAGCCAAGTCGCATTTATTTCTAAGCAAATACGAACAGATTCTTCGACTGATAACAACATACATTATCATCAACATACTCATTGTTTTAGTAAACCACTAAAAGGGAAAACGTCACGCTACTTAAGTTTACGTAAACAAGTCACTGAATGACCACAATCACAAACACAAAGCAAGTCGTGATCATCTCGTTTTACTGGTGTCTCGATTTATTTAGAGCGCATATTATTCATTTTAATTATCCTTCAAAAGTGACCTTTATTGATATTGCAATAGCAGTTACCTAATTGCGAACTGCATTGATGACGTAGAGGTCGCTGGTGGGATTTTTGAGTACCTACCTTAGCGGTTATTTTTTGCAAATATGACTAGGTAACTTTTTTAAATTATGCTCGGGCTTTAAAGTTAATATGCTACTGACATCAAATTTAATAATCCTTATTTAGAGCACGGAGTCTAGAATTTTATAAAAGAGTTTCTATTAGAAAAGGACTAAATATGACTGACCATAGTTCGAAAACAGTTCTATCTTATTCATCAGTGAAAACAGGCGTGATTTATAATACTATTATCTAGAATACAAACACTTGAAAACAAAAATATTCGTCAATATGCGACCTCATGACATCATGATAACGCCTACTTCAAAGATAACAAAATTTGTAACTGCCACGTATATAAATGCAACGAGGCAGCCGCTGATTGGCCACAACCGATTTATTTACGGATATAAAGATAAACTTTAGATCTATTTTGATAGCGATATTGTAAGCCTAAAACGTTTTAATGTTGTTTAAAACTTGATAGCAAACCTTTTTAGTTTAAGTGGTTTATTAGTTAACTATAATTGGTCTGAAAACTCCTACAGAAAGGGAATTTCGCAGGAGCAGGAACAGGGTGGTTTTTAGTCAGTAAGAGTCTGAGATTCTCTCGCCTTCACAAGACGGTAGAAGTCATTGGATGATATTATAGGGACAGGGTGGTTTTTAGTCAGTAAGTCTGAGACTCTTTCTCGCCTTACCCTAAGCAGGAGAAGTATCTGTATGATTTTCCCCCTAAAAGAGGGGTTTCTCTAAAATTAAGGTAATTTGTGATTTCTTTCTTTTTTATCGATGCAGTATTAATTTAGATAAGTCTTTTACCACGTTAAACGCCACGGGGGTCACCGGTGACCGGCGTTAACGGAGGATTTACCTTCAACAGTTTTTTATTGGCAGTCAAAGTCTTAATAGTATAATCAAGGTTTTCTGTATTATAAGTAAAGTAGGTACATCTAAAACTTACTTTTTGCTGCCGTATCTGCCATCGAAGCCAATCACGACTCCATTCTGTATATCGCTTGGATTGCAGACTTTCTTTATGTATGAGCAGAGACCCTGAAAATAATATTTTTACCATGTCAAAAAGCCAGTCCTGATTAAAACATAGGGCTAAACTTAAACTACTACAATATATACGTTGCTCAGTTTCCAAAACCTAGTTAATTTTTTTTTAAAAACGTTGCCCCACACTGGGATTATCTTCTGTGTCGTGGGTGCGTTTAAACATACAAGTTCACAAACACATCACACCCAGACCCGTTACAACAATTTGTGGATCACACAAGCTCTAATAGTTTCGAACCACAGTGATTGAGCTGCAAGACATCGCCGCTACCGCACATGCTGCTCATGAGGAAGAACCTCTATGGTTCGAAACTAGTAGAGCTTTTCTCAGTTTAGTTAATTAAGTATGTCTCACGATAGTTATTATAAAAGAATTTAGAAGTAAAAATATGTTATGATGTTGATTTTATTTATTTATTTGCACATTCCTAAGCAAGTTATCATTGTTTATAACAGTTTTATTAATCCTACTTATATATTAGAAAGATAGAGATTTAAAAGATAAAAAGAATGATGAAATTCAGTTCAATGGGGATGATGACAGGGTATGAAAATTAAAAATCTAATTAGTCCGTAAGTTAGGTAATTAAAAAATATAGGACACGTATTTTTTTATTTTGTCGTATAATAAAACGAATCAAAGTTTAGGAGTGGGGGCTAAAACGTCATTTCTCAGTATAAAATGTACTGAGAAGTGACGTCACGCGACATTTCAAATCAATATATCTTCGAAACTATTCGTTTCCGTAAGAAAATAAAAAATACGTGTCTAATGTTTTTAAATAATCTACCAGACGGACATTAAAATAAAAATTAGTCGTCTACCCTATTAAATATATGACGTGCTCATGCATGGTTCGCGAATTCTCAAAATGGTCCTCAAAATACAAAATCTTGATACCTGTCGGGTGATTCTTTTTCTGACCTACTAGCCATATAGTAGCCATATAAACAGCTATAACATGAAACAGCTTTAAGTTTTACCTTTGCGAGTCAATTAAAACAAAATTAGGTAATTAATGTCAAGGAGACGGGAAAAGAAAATAACTTTGAGGTCAACATTTTTAATACAGTCTGGAGTTGACCAGTCGCAGTTTGAGAAACGAGGTCTTGTTTAGTTGTTAAGAGTCTGACAATCCCTCACTCCTCACCCAGGGATCCGAGGAATAATTTGATGATTTCCCCCACTCCTTTAGGAAATACGTCAATTCTTTTTTTTAAACGTTGCCCCTCATTACGATTTTCTCCTGTGTCGTAGGTGCGTTTACAAACATACAATTTCACATACACATGACACTCAGACCCGAAACAACAATTTGTGGATCACACTAAGTGTTGGTCCGTGCGGGAATCGAACCCGCGGCACGCTGCACGGCAGCCAGTTGCCCAGCCACCGCAACAACCGTGCAGTCATTCCTATGGAGAAGAACGAGCAAGAAACTCCATAGGTTACTCTTTCAATCAGGTTCACAATACAATTCTCTAGTTACATTAAGTTAAGAGTCTGACAATCCCTCACGCCTCACCCAGGGATCCGAGGAATAATTTGATGATTTCCCCCACTCAGAAAGGGATTAGACCTTTTAGGAAATACGTCAGTTCTATTACGTAAACAGTGTCATTTAACTAATATCATTGGAAGGTCAAGTAGAAAGTTCAAGTACGACATTAACCGATTACGTTATCGCATTAAACCACCTCCTGTGGCGTGTTAGCTACATCTATATCTATGGGTAGTATGAGTACCCATACGAATACAATAAAGCTAATATATATTAATACTAGCTTTTACCCGCGGCTTCGCTTGCGTCACAAAAGAATAAAAAGCCAATGTGACATATACCAATATACACAGCGCCATCTATACCAACACTTTTGTTTTCCCTCGGGAATATTAAATTTTTCAGGGATAAAAAGTACCCTATTATTTAATCCGGACTTGTAACTTTACGTCTGCAAATTTCAAAGCAATCGGTTTAGTAGTTACGGCGTTAAAGTAGAACAAACAAACAAACAAACAAACTCACTTTCCGATTTATAATATAAGTAGTAAGTAAGGAAGTAAGGATTATCCTTTATAATATTATATATTAGCTTAATTGTTATTTTTATTTATATAAATAAGTTAATTTTGTTCAGATGTGTTAATCTTTAAGATTATCAGATAGTTATAGACTACCTTGAGTCGTAGTGTGCCAGCATTTATAGTTATGGCGTGTGATAATGACTGAATAGATTACAATTTTACTCTTGTTGTAAGCCGAGACAAAGCCGACTAACTGTCGAGACGTCTAATGAACGGTTACTAGATTCTATTTTACAGTAAAATATTATGATGGGACATTAAATATTATGAAGACACTGTTCGAAAAAGTTACTCAATAAGTTTCAAAGTGCACTGGGAACCCATAATCTCTTAACACGTTAAACGCCATGGGGGTCACCGATGACCGGCGTTAATGGAGGATTTACCTTCAACAGTTTTTTATTGGCAGTCAAATTCTTAAAAATGGTTATTAAGAGATGCCTAAATACCTATATGAAATTGACAAATGCTATCATATAATATTATTTAACACATGCGAAACCGCAGAGCTGAGCTAGTGCTTTTGAAATTAAAATTGCATTCGTTTGTTACGTCTGATTCATATTTAAACTGAAGGTGAAATTTATTAAGTACGCATTTATACCACTTGTAAGTTGTAATAAATGGTTTCATACAAATGTGTTATAATGGAAATTGGATATGAATTCGATTAAGATACGGTGGTTAAAAAGAGTATATATTTCGCTACAAATACATGCCATGCATTTACAAGTGAAAATATAACTTTATAATTAAATGGGTAGCAGAAGTGCATTTAAATGCAACATCGAATTTACTGCCTCATTGAGCGAGTGGTTGCATGTGCGACTGCCGGGCAAGGGGTCTCAGGTTCGATTCCCGGGTCGGGCAAAGTATTACTGGGTTTGTAAAAACCTCAGTAGTAGCAGTAGTCATAACATAAATAGTGAAAAGTCGGTGTTACATTTTACAGTGGTATTAAGTGCCGTAATGTGCACCTCTGCCTACCCCTTCGGGGGTAAAAGGCGTGATGTTATGTTATCGAATTGTAACCAGAATTACCCTATATTACTTCTATAAATGTGATATTTCTTTATTTGGATGTTTGTCCGTCAATCACGCTGAAACTACTGAAAGGATTTTGATTCGAATTTGGTATACAGGGGCTGACTTAGGTGATAGGATACTTTAATCCCGATTAAATGGTCCCATGGGATAAAACAGGAATACTAGTTATGAATGACTAGCTACTTCAGCGCGGTTTCAGACGGTCTGCTCAGCTTCTGTAAGTCGTAGCGTGATGTTTTATAGCCTATAGCCATCCTCGATAAATGCGTTATCCAACACAAAAAGAATTATTCAAATCAGACTTGTAGTTACGGAGATTAGCGCGTTCAAACAAACAAACAAACTCTTCCGCTTTATATAATAGTATAATAAGTATAATATAATGATATGATCAATGAAATAAGTCATTATGACTGACTATTTCAACATTTTGAATTAGTCATATTAGATTTGTCTGTCAGTCAGTCACTTAGTGAAAATATACGTTCATTTAAACTAGTTTGTATTTTAAACCAATTATTACATCAGAATAACGATTTATATAGACACATAATATAAAGGAATGTGTCTCTTATTCCTATCATCCTTATCAATATTATTTACACTTTGATAGCAGAAATATAAACTGTATTATACAGTTTTAGATTCATAACAGAGGTCATTGATTTGTTGAAATCTGATCACAATATTTCTATAACTGCCTCGTTGGCCGAGTGGTCGCACGTGCGACTGCCGGGCAAGAGGTCTCGGGTTCGATTCCCGGGTTGGACAATGTACTACTGGGTTTTTAAAATAACCTCAGCAGTAGCACCCCCTTATTACATGGGACTCATAACATAAATAGTGAAAAGTGGGTGTTATATTGTAGTGTAGCATTATATGCAGTAATGTGCACCTCTGTCTACCCCTTCAGGGATAAAAAGAGAGATGTTATGATGTTATGTAATCTTTCTATAAAGTTGTTCTTGTTCTTATTTTAAGAAAATCTAACTTCTTAACTGTTCAATCCCCAAACGGTCACTGGTGACCGCTAAGTTCTCCACTAAGTCATTATAGACCTTATTTCTGATGTTTAGATACTACTTTTGTATGAATAAATTGGGTATCAATACAATATATCAACATGTTAAGTTAGTATCTATAAAGATCAACTTTAGGTAGGAAAAAAGCAAAATATTTAATCAATTTGTACTGGGGCCAGCAATGTGTAAATTTTTGTCATTGGATTTTTTACTTTAGGTACATCTAAACAATAGAGTTGAAAATCATATAAAAAAATTTGACACATTCAAACCATCTTCTTGTGAAATAGGACATGGGCTACTTCATGCACATTAAATGATAAAACAATGAGAAAAAATACTTAATGAGGTACGTAACAAACCTGTGCAGTTTGCAGGACCACCACATCATTCATGGCTTTGTATCCAGCTCCCATACGTCCACGGAGACCAGCCGTACCAAACTTGAGTCTCTGCAGCATACACCCTCGCAGTTTATCCCAGCGTCCATTCGATATGTCTTCAAATACTTCATTGCGAGTAGTTGGGTTCTATAAATATAAACAATATATTTAGCAGTGCAATTACAATAAGTGACTTTATTAGAGATTCTAATACATACTGTTTTTAACACATTAAGCACTATGGCGATCACTGGTGACCGATATTAGCAGAGGATTTGCCTTCAATAATTTTCTATTGGCAGTCAAAATCTTAAGGAATTTAGATCTGTGGAACAACTTCCGCTTGGCCAATGACAAGGACCAATTCAAAAAGCTGACAGCCAACCTTCAGGAATGAAGTGGCAGTGGCACCACAAGAAGAAGGAACTTATGAACGGAACTAAATTGAAAATATTTTTATTATTACCAAAACCAAATCAGATCATTTAATGCATATATCAGAGTTTTTAGTAAGTATGATGCAATTATGGAGCTTTTTATCCTCATTCTTGTTTAGGCTGTAATTAGATACCTAAGTAAGTTACTATTGTCTGTAACCAGCTGTAAATATGACAGGGTCAGACCTCTGTCATCATTATTTTGTAAAGGATTTATTCAATAACTAGTTGCTTTCTTTAGTACAAAACTACCAGAGTAAAGTTGTGAATGATATTTAGATAGATTTCACAATTTCATGTTTTTTTTTATTTTGTATTAACTCGTCGAGTACCGGTTTTATAGACACAATTAAAGAACAATAGGTCGCGGTCACCGGTGACCGCTTGGTGTTTGACAGTTTAATTGTCATTGACTTTTGTATTAATTGTGACAAGAATTAGTAATTACTCATTCTATTCTGTGATAAATTAAAGTTCGGTAGTCCAATGAAACAGTACGAAATAATTATGTTGAGCAATCGCATCATTCAATTTGACTTCCTAATAAGAAAAATATTCAAATTATTATTATACTAACAACAGTTACATTAATAAAATATGACAGGACCAGCACAATATTACCTTAATTGAGCCAATTACGCGTATAGTTGCAATCTCAAGGCCAAAAGTGCATCGATCTTTTACGTGCCTTGCACCATTAATCTTTCCATTAATAAATAAAATTACAGTGCTTACCTTGTCCAGTTTCAGCCAGTTGTTTACCGCAGCATCTAATTTCACATCTCCACTATCACAAACAGACATTTTATTCAAGTTAATAAGGCAATTACAGTTCAAACGATGGTATTGTTCTTTGAATATGTGAACACCGAGTTTATAGAGAAGTAGGTGGTACTCCACTCGAGTTATTCCAGGAATTTAGTGACCGGTCAGTCGCTGTTACGAACCGCGCGTCAACATCCGGACTTCACACAGAAATTACTGATATTTTATTGTACAAACTGCCGATTTTACAAACTTCGCGAATGATCACAGTTGCACTTCTATCTGTCCAATTTGTAGTCATAGAAAGAAAACCAAAATAAACTCTCTACGTACGCAATAAGGTTTAGTTTAGGGGCTAGGGGTAGGTACAAAATTGTACATAGGTGTATACAATACGTCAGCTGACAGTTTTGACGTTCGGATACACGTATCTAATTAGATTTTCGAACGAAAAAGGATTGTTTCTGATTTTTTAAACAATAAATTACGTATTAAGATGGATTTAACAATAAAAAATATGAAAATAATATAGAACAACTAAAATGAAATTGTAATTAAATATCAATAAAAATACTACCTGCGTGACGCCTAACAAAATACTAAAAGCAAAGTTACCCATGTAGTTCTGAAATGAAATGAAATGCTACAGGCACTTCGCCAAATCTCAAGTTCGATTAGGATTATAAAGATTGTAGCAGGGGCGGTCTGGTCATACTTACAAACCAATCGGTAAGGGGCCCCGAAAACCGAATTTTAATTATATTTCTTTCACTAAAAAAAAACTTTTTTGTGGTAAGAAAAAATTTTCAAGCTACATTTCAATCTTAACAAAATAAGGAGTCTATAACGCATATGCTTTACTTATCACCTGCCCAACAAAATGGCAGGAAAATGTTAATCTCAAAATCAGATGGGGGCGTTGCGGTATTTTGAATTGTGTTACTTTTTTATTTGATTTTCAGCGACTACCGATCCCGGTCTAAAAATACTGGGGGCCTCATATTTATTCCTAGCCTCCGGGCACAAAATGCTGTCAGACCGCCCCTGATTGTATGTGAACTGCTGCTGATAGTCTTTAAAAAGTGTAGCTGGTTCACACACCAATGCTAAAATATCTATGTAGCTTTTCAAGTATGTAAAAAGCTTGTCTAGTAACATTATATTTATTTAGGGTTTTCTTTAAACTGTCAAACACCAAGCGGTCACCGGTGACCGCGACCCATTGTTCTTTAATTGTGTCTATAAAACCGGTACTCGACGAGTTAATTCGTTTTAATGGCCCATGCTCATACTGTTTTCAATGACGTATGGCTTGGACGCATAGACGCACACACACTTGATATTTTCACACACATATTACACTCAGACATGATACTATTATTTGTGGATTAGATACTAGCTTAGAGGCAATCAAACCTATGACGCATTGCACTGTAGCCGGTCACCCAGCCAGTGCTCCAATATACATTTATTAGCTTCCTAACAGACCGTGGTCCACGGTAGCGACACCTACCTACTTTATAAAAATAGTAAAATACCCATCATAGCTACAAAATATACCTAACTAAACTAACGATCACTTTCTGTACTGACGATTAACATGTGCCAAATTCCAATGTGAATTTGAAGATTGATAAGACAAGATATTTTATTAATAACGTTGATCATAATCTTAGTTAATTGTCTTGCAATGTCAATTTTAATTAGTAGCTGGATGACCGAACTTTGCTCGGTGTTCTTTTTAGTACTTCCTTACAAATGATTTTTAGAAAAAAAAAATAATAATAATAAAACATTCGGGCCTAATATTGAACCCGAGTGTCCTGCGTGGGAGGAACCCAATTTCCCGACTAAGCTATTAAAACGTTAAGTATTGATAATGGCAAAGTTTAGTTTCATATTCTAATAATACATATTGTAGGAGGTTTTTATTTAACGAAAACACGCATTTTTTTATTAAGGGGGAACATCATCTGATGACTGCTTCCGCCTGGGTGAGGCGGGAGGGAGTGTCAGACTCTTACTGACTAAAAACAACCCCGTTCCTTCTCCTGCCCGTCGAGCCGGAGCCCCGGTTAGGTACCCGTTAGGTTATCCGCGATGACGAAAATACGGATAAGACAAGAATTCTTCTGAAAATCGAACGAGCAGCAGGTTTCGATTGATTTACCGCCCCCGAAACTCCCTAAGTACAAAATTTTAAGAAAATCAATAATGCCCTTTTTGGGATCGAAGGTATTAAATAGATAGATGAATGGAGTACCAAGTAAGGAGAGAGGTTTGTTACCCTTTTCAGAGTGTTTTAGAAAGGGATCGACTACTATGACAATAAATTGGGGCGCTACGTAAGGACTTAAACAAATTAAGGATTTTAAAAAATAAATTCTTGTAACGTTTGATTTAAAGACCTATTTACAAACTGATATGATACCTACTGTTTGAACTGTTTCTCCACAACATTGGCAATTTGCCAAGCGTAATTACGGGAAACCAATAATATACCCACCTATTAGATATGTACCTATCTGCGGTAGGTATCCGTATCCGTTACAAAGAACTGACGGTACATGGGGCAGAAAAGTTTTAAAACGGATGTCACGTACTTATACGTATTGCAAGTCGCGGAGAACTTAACGGGTAACCGGGGCTCCGGCTCGACCACCACAGATGGGGCCCAATAGGGCCGATGCCGATTCGGAGTCGCGGAGAACCTAACGGGTAACCGGGGCTCCGGCTCGACGTGCAGGAGAAGGAACGGGGTGGTTTTTAGTCAGTAAGAGTCTGACACTCCCTCCCGCCTCACGAAGAAGGTTAATTGGGCCTCCGGTAACCTCACTCTCACGACGAAACACAACGCAAGCGTTGTTTCACGTAAGTTTTCTGTGAGGCCGTGGTATCACTCCGGTCTAGCCGGCCCATTCGTGCCGAAGCATGGCTCTCCCACACTTAAAACGCAAACATTCATTGTTATCAGTCCATAATGAAAATATTGCGTTCCGTAATACAGAATAAGGTTCTTAGAGACCGTTTGGGGACTGTAATACTCAACCTAATAGGATTTTACACCTCAATGTCATCCCAACCGAACAAAACTGAAGCCCTCATTACAGCATCCCTTTCAAAACTCTATGACGAAGGCTGAAGCCTTTACCTAAAATATCTTCTTTCAATAATGTTACACGTGCGCAAACAAGTACAGATTTACACCCAAGAATATCAATATTGTGAACCTGAAACAGTAACCTATGGAGTTTCTTGCTCGTTCTTCTCCATAGGAATTTACACCTTCGAATGAGCAAATAGCTCTAATTTTTTTGTTGACGTTCAAAAGTTGCTTTTTGGGTCTAATTGAAATACATGATTTTGACTTTGACTTTGACTTTGACATGTGGAATTTTAATGCTGGATTATGAGACTCTTTTACTTAAGAGAGATTTACCATAGTATCCGTGCGACAGACCGCAATTCAAAAGGTTCAGGTTTACCAAAGTGTGCTGCTACCCCAGATTCACTAATCCTGTAGTCTCTTATTCAGCTCTTAAGACAGCACGTCTCTCGCAGTAAGAGTAGGAGTACCGTCAAATATATTATAGGTACCCTGCCTTCATATATACACGTGACCCTTTCAATTTTTTTACACATTGCCCCACACTAGTATTTTCTCCTGTATCGTGGGTGCGTTTACAAACACACAAGTCTGAGTGTCATGTGTTAGGTCTCCTCTACATATTGAGAGAGTCTGTCATAATCCCCATTTATTTTTTGGTAAACGAGCAGACGGATCACCTGATGGTAAGCAATCGGCGCCGCCCATGGACACCTGAAGCACCAAGGCGTTACATACACATTACACCCAGACCCGAAACAACGATTTGTGGATCACACAAAGTGTTGTTCTGTGCGGGAATCGAACCCGCTTCACGCTGCACGGCAGCCGGTTGCCCAGCCACCGCACCAACCACGCAGTCAATCTTTCAGTCAGTCATAGTAATCAGTCAATTCTTTCAGTCCCCCTCGTTCAAAAACTAAATCCTTCACCTACATTCATAGGACGTCAGCGGTCCAGTTTATTAGGAAACTGTTAGTACAATCAGTGGGCAATCATATAATTTGTAATTGCCTGCGGAACAGTCCACTCCATGCCCTGGCCGTAGGGTGGGAGCTTCCTTCTTCAATGGCCGCTGTGTACCAGCAGGAGGTTAATTAATGCTCTCTGCTGATGGCATTTTGAGGGACCCTATTTTAGGACGTAGTTCTAAACTGATGCGTAGAAGACTTGATGGATATGTTTTGATGTCTGATGAATGTTTTCATTATTTTTAACTATGTTCATAAAAAAGGAGGTTCGTTTGTACGCATTGGGTACACCAGTATTTTTTCAATAATCAGCGATATTTGTAATCTCTGTATGGACTTTACATAATTAGCAGTTCAAAAGGCTGATTGAAACGACAGCAATAAATATTAAAATCTTCTTAACTTGTCTTCTGTTAGAAAGAAAGATTTTCACATTTCAAGTACTGATAATATCAAAACCGGTAACCGAGCTGACGGATTACCGGATTGTACGCAATCGGCGTCGCCCATGGACACCTAGAACACCAGAGGCGTTACAAGCGCGTTGCCGACCTTTTGGGGATTAGGAATTTGAGGATTGTTGAGGATTGAGGGACTAAACACAACGCAAGTGTTGTTTCACGTCGGTTTTATCTGATGCCATGGTATCACTCCAGTCGAGCCGGCCCATTCGAGCCGAAGCATTGCTCTCCGACGATTATGTAAATACTAAAACCAAATTAACATTTAAATTAGCCAATCCATGTTGTCTCATTACCAAATCAAACCCGCCCAAGTTCATCTAATTAAAGAAGTAATAATTAAACAATAAATAAAACATTAATACCTATTTATGATCTCCTGTCAACGACAAAAACAATAATAATGATTAAAACAAAACATTTGTTCATATAACCTAATAAATAAATATTAGGCAGGTACGTACTTGAGTCTGTATATAAATAAATGTATGGATATAAAGT